TTCCAGCTGTCTTGAGCCGGTGTTGTTCATGAGCTGCAGGCAAAGGCTGGGTCTGGGCCTCACAAAAGAGAACCATGACGCTACTTTGTATTCATGCATTTTCATAAAGAGCATTCCATGCGGTGTTACTGTGATCAAAGGTTAAATTAGTTTAGAAAATGTCAGGCTGAGCAAAATCAGACAGATTTCTAGCCTGGAGCTTTCACTACAGTTCTATGCATCAAGCCTCTCTAAGAGGGTTTCTCATGCTATGGGACCACAGAACCCTTATCTCAATGGGGAAATCATACAATGGAAGAGGATGGAGAAAAAACAAGAGAGGGCAAGGCTGGGGCCAGTGATGCAAAGGAGGAATGTCATTTGCATCTTGACCACGGACTCACTCTTTTGACCTTGAGCTAGTTTCTTTTGCTCCTTTTGGTCTCTGTACCTGTCTCCCCATCCATAAAATGAGAGTGATGCGTGGACCTCAGCTGATCCTTAGTAGTTAAGTGTCAGCAGGATGGACTAGGGTCTCCCTGACTTTACCCACAGTGTCCTAGTGATGGGGGGGAATGCAGGCCCTGGACTCTTCTCTTTGGTGAGAATGTACTGGCATCAACTACCATCAGCTCAGACTCAAAGCTCAACTGCCTCAGTCCTATCCCCACCCCATAAAGTACAGCGAATAATAGTATCCGCAGTTAGCAAAGGGGGCATCATTAATGGCCATGTTGGAAGAACAAGTGTCAACCAGCACAGTGCCCCACAAACCAGGACAGATGGTGACATGAGGCTCCAGTAAGGTGATGCCTGATAATGCAGTGAACATACCATATATTTTTGTTCGGGGTTTGTTTGTTTTTGTTTTTGAGACAGGGTCTTGCCATGTGGTTCAGACTGCCTTTGAGCTCTCTATGTGGCCCAGGCTGGCCTCGAACTCACACATCGATCCTCCTGCCTCACCCTCCCAAGTACTGGGATTAGAAGCATGCACCACCATGCCTAGCTTGGTTTGGTGTTTTGAGACAGGGTCTCACTGTGTAGTTCAGCCTCAGGTCCCACAGCCTTTAGAACCCTGCCATGCAGTTTAAAAACCACCCAGGTTCCTTGCAGCTCTTTAGACCATGATTTATGAGTTCCTAACCTACTGTCTTTCCCAGTATCCTCAGGGTCGTCTGGCAGCACAGACCTAAGCAATCCCAGCTCCCCTTCACCCCACATGTGGAGCCCTCATGAGAAGGATTCAGAACAGAGCATCAGCTGCCCTGTGGGCTGTTCGAGCTGTGACTTTCCCTTTTCCCACCCCCATCTAAATATGGCTGCCTTAGGTGCACAGTATGTATGTGAACTTTCTTTCATTTTCCTGGAAGGGAGCCCTCCTACCACTTAATCTGTGGAGCAACTGAGGCAGTGTGGTTGAAAGGAGCTGCCCCAGGGTCAGGGATTTAGCTCAGTGGCCCCACGCCTGCCTTGCAAGCACAAGGTCCTGAGTTCGATCCCTGTACCAAAAAAAAAAAAAAAAAGGAGCTGTCACAAATGGCACAACAGCTGGAGATGGAGGCTTCTTCTGCAATTTCCCCCACCCCCACCTCTTGTCCCAAAGAAGGGGAAGGAGCCCCAAATGGCAGTAATACACAGCTAAGTGCTCCAGGAAGGGGCTCAGGGTAGAAGATGGCTGTGGGAGGGTTGTGTGTATGTGTGTGTGTGTGGCCTTGGACTGGGAAGAGATGGGGACCTAGGGGATTAGGGGCCAGAAGCCTGTGCACTAGGAGGATTAAAAGGCCCCTTGCAGTACAGAGTCTCTGGAAGCTCTTTTCAAGGCCAGGGCAGGTGGGTGGCAGGAGATATAGCAGGGAGGCTCCTTATTCCTTGCCTTTCTCCACCCTCTGCTGCCCCCTTCTTCTGCTTAGGCTGATTGTGACACCCACCCCACCCCCCAGCACCAGGCCCTATTCAGGAGGCAGCTCTAGGACAACACCTCCCTGGCTCCTGGCTCCCTGCTTGGTGGGTCCCTGCCACATTCACAGCACATCTCTAGCTACCCAGCCAGCCCGGCCCCCAGCCCTGCTGAGGTGGGTGAATCCAGGGCACAGGGACCTGAGGGAAGGGCACTTCTGGAAGCTTCTGCACATTATTAACAAGGAAATTGCATTTACGGGCTTGCTGGCCTGAAAGCTCCAAGCCACACTCCTAGTAAGATCTCCCCTTCTAAGGTGTGAAGGAGGCCAAGGGGCAAGATGTATGCCCGGAGAGGGCCCACTATGCCTTCTGGTGCAGAGCGCCCCCACTTAAGAGAGGCAAGCCAGTGGCCACCTTGGGTTTGCTTCTGCCACCGCAAATTGGGGGGGAAGTCAGCCCACCCTGCAGATGGAGCAGTCAAAGTTCGAGCCGTCTACACTGAACTAACAAACCCTGTTAGGATTTTGCCTGTTCCTTGCTATACTGCCATTCATCCTCCTTTAGAAGCCCCCAGATTCCTTCTGGGGCCATGGGACCTGCCACGCCCCTGCCTTCTGGGCATGCGCAATCTCTCTCTTCTCCCCATCTCACTCCCCTGCTCCTGACCCCTATGCCCATGTCAGCTTCTGCCCTTGCCCTGCCTTCTCAGGTGATGGCAGTGGTCAGAGTGTCCTGTGTGTGTTCAGACCCAGGCAACTAGCCCTATCCTGCCTCCCCTCCCCCTAGTCACCCTCCAGAGTCCCTGAGGCCTCATTATTAGAGTCGCGGTGACTCCCCATTGTCTGCCCTGTCTGGCCCTGGCATGAAAGGTAGAGTTTTGGCAGAGAATGGAGGCTCGGTCTGATTCCAGCTCATTCTCTGCGGCAAAAAGCCTGTAATGTGCTGGGGGCAAGCTGGGCTGGGGGCTGGAGGAGCCACAGGGCATCCCCTGTCACTAGGACGACAGCAGGGAGCCCTGGTGGGGGAGGGCAGGGAAGGGCGAGGAGAGCAGGTGGCTCTTTGTCTGGTGTCTGATCCCAGCCCAGCCCCGCCCCATTGTCCTCCCAAGCCTTGAGGAGGCCCCCAGGAGGGGTCTGGCGTCCCTGTTCCCAGCGCATGCAAAACCACAGGGCTCCCTCCCTCTCCCCCTTGCTTAGCCCACTGGGGATCTTCCCAGGACCCGAACCCACACCCCTGCCCCCATCTCCTCACCCAGCACTGAAGCCCTCATGCGACTGGTGCTCAAGTGGCCCCCAGGGATGGAATCAGAACCCTGGCAGCCACTCCACGCTCCTTCAGGTTCAGTTTCTGTATCTGAGCAGTAAGGTGGGCAGAGTGTTGCAGCCCAGGGCTCCTTTCTGCCTTAAGCCTGTCTGTTTTGGGCAGGATCATGAGGCCCTAGAAGCCCCCACCTCCAGGTCTGGGTCTGCCCTCAGCTCTTTGGTCTTTGGGTTTTGATTCTGAGCAGCAGAGCAGCCCTGGCCAGGGAGGGGCAGTGGTGGTTGAAGGTCAGTGGCAGCCAGAGGCAGCTACTTCACTTCTCCATGTGAATTTTTCCAGGCCTTTATTTTCTCATCTGTAATATAGAGATGCTAATAGGATCTGCTACATTTGTTGTAGAGGGGCTAAGAAATCATAAATGTAAGGTACTTAGAAAGTGTTTGGCCCCGTGAAACATTGCAAATATTGCGTTTTTCTTTGCCTGAAGATGTTTCCAGAGCAGGGGATAAGTGAGTTCCTTGGAATACTTGATGTAAACTGAAAACCAAGAGCTGGATGTGCATGCCTGTAATCCCAGCACCGAGAGGCCACGGGAGGAAGATTGCAGCAAGTTTGAGGCTATGTAGCAAGACCCTGTCTCAAACAAACAAACCAAACACTGAAAACCAAATAGATGTCATCCCTGAAACCTGTTATTTTTGTTGGAGGATTGGGGAATATGCGGATTTTAAAATAGACCTCCTTAGAGATGTCCTCCTGGTAGTCTTGGGGAGGAGAATTGAAAGTTTGACTGTGACTGTTGCTCTTGGTTTGGCTTCGAAATGCTGCACACAGTATCTGCTTTCCCAAAATAGTCTTCAGTGACCTAATCCAGAAAAGGGGGGAATGTGAGTTTGGCCTTCTGGACTAGTCCTACACACACCTCCATCTCAGATGTCCATGTCTGTCGCCATCTATTTATTTACTTATCTGTTGAGTGGTGCTGGGGCTCAACGCCAGGACCTCACACATGCTAGGCAAGCACTGTACCACTGAGCTAACCCCTCCAGCCCACAGCAGCTTCTACAGGGAGCCCGGGATCTCGGGCGGGGATGCCTTTCACAGACAGGAGTACTCTGCATCCGAAAGCAGAGGAGAGGTTCTTGTTTCCTGCTGGGCATATGGGGTGGGCTCTGAGAGGAAGGAGGCACACGGAGATTAAGGGCTTCTCTGGGAGAGAGGAATAAGAGGCTGGCTTTTCTAACTGAACCCATGAAGATATTCATGGAAAATTAGTGCCTGTCTGTTCATCTAAACACCCCTGTCTATCCATCCAACAAATCTTGATTGAGTGCTGATAGCGCAGCTGTGTGTGAGCACCTGGGGGCAAGTGATACCAGCCTGCCTGGAGCTGCAGTCAGCAAGGAGGTGGAAGTGTTGGAGGCCAGTGCGAGCAGGAGACCTGGAGTCCGTCCCTGGCAGGGGAGCAGTGGGGACGAGCCCTGTCTCAGGAGAGCCTTCCAGAGGGGACATGCCAGTAGTTGGGAGGAGTGAGTGATTTCAGTGTCCCAGGGAGATTGGGGAGGAAAAGGAATCCTAGATGGAGCAACCTAGGTATGCAAAGCTACAAAGTAGCTCATGCCTGTAATTCCAGCCACTAGGGAGGCTGAAGCAGGAGGACTGCAAGTTGGAGACCACACGGGACAACTCAGCAAGACCTTGTCTCAAAATAGAAATAAAAATAAAAAGGCTGAGAGTGCAGCTCGGTGGCAGAACACTTCCTTAGCATGCATGTGGCCCCGGGTTCAGTCCCCAGCACCACACACACCCCAGAAAAGAACTCACAGAGCTGATCCACTGCTGTCTTGCTTCTCCCACAGTTTGACCCTGGCAACACAGGCTATATCAGCACAGGCAAGTTCCGGAGCCTCCTGGAGAGCCACAGCTCCAACCTGGACCCGCACAAACGGGAGGTGCTCCTGGCTCTGGCTGACAGCCACGAGGATGGGCAGATCTGCTACCAGGACTTTGTCAACCTGGTGAGCACTCTGGGGCCCTTGCTTCTTTGGGATTTTGGTTTAGACACATGAAAGAAATTTAGACAAAGGGACCTGTTGGCTCACAGCATTGAAAAAGCCCAGGCAGGCTTCAGCAAGAGAGAGGGCACCGCTAGGGACCTGGTTTCTCCTTGTCTCTGGACTCTGCTTCTCTAGTGGTTGCTTGTCCGCAAAGCAGCTCCTGGCAATTCTAGGCCTTCCCATTGTGGAAGCAAAGTGACTACAGCCACTCCAGCCCTTACACTCTCAGCCCACACTATGCAGAGAGAGTCTTTTCTTGTGGTTCCTCTTGCATAAGGCCTGGGATTTCCTCCCCTCCACTGATCTAGATCGAGTCAGTGGGATGTTAGTTGACTCAAACCAATCAGTGACCATCCTGATGTGCAATCCGTTCCACCAAAAGGAAGGGCTGGAAGCAAGGAGGAGATTGTTGCTGCCAGGAGGAGGAGCTGGGGAAAGGATGCTGTGAAGGTCAGGTCAGGCCTCCCTTGGAGCACATGATAGAGGCCAGAGTTCATCAGGCCTGCTGGCAGCTGTCCTGGATATCGGACGGGCTAGAGATGGAAGGCTCAGGAATCCTCATCCTGCTCCAGGAGCAGAAACTTCCTCCTTCCGGGGTCAACGTGTGCTGTTTGGGGCTATTGTGGCAGGATTGGAATGGGTCAGGGTTAAGCAGGCATCATTTGGGATGGACAGAACATCGGGAGAACTGAACAAACAGATGATACAGGACTGGAAGTCTTCACTTGGCCCCCGTTGGTGATGGGGAGGTGGCGCCCTCTTGTCAGGTTCCCCATGAGGGGGCAAGAGTAAAACAGCTTGTGTGGGGCGGGAGATTTAGCTCAGTGGTTTCGCCACCTGCTGCGTAAGCGCAAGGACCTGAGTTCAATCCCCGGTACCAAAAAAAACAAAAAGCCCCAGTTTGTGTGAAGTTCTCCCAGGCCCCTGAAGTTCAAAGGCACCAGAGGCACTCGAGCTCTGTGGTGTGGGGCCCAGGCAGGGCAGGGGTTGCTGTGCCAGCCTCTTGCTGAGGGCCAATGTGTTCTAGGGAGAGTGCGAGTGCGGCAGCTGCTGTGGGTGGCAGAATGAGACCTGGCTGGGGAGCTGGAGGGGGAGCGGGGACAGTCAGGGTGCCCACGATGGGCGGTGGAGGTGTGTGTGTGTGACTGGAGGCCTGCAGTGCCACCCATTACTGGGCATGGACAGGCTCCTGCAGCCCCAGCACGGGCTTGTGTACCCACCAAGATACCTGCCTGACTCAGGGTGGAGCAAGGGCCTCCTGAGCCAGAGCGGCTGGGTGGGAGCTCTCGATAGCCCGTGACTTGTTGCTCTAGAGATTTCTCCATTCCAGTTCTGAGCTTGGTGGCCAGGACTTGGGGTAGAGCTGCCCTGGAGACCAAATGAGGAAGGGACTCACTGGGGAGCTGTGGGCGGGCAGAGAGTTCAGGGCCTGGGCAGCAGTCTTTGCCACTCACTGGGAACAATCCTCTGGGCCTCCATTTTCCTGTTTATAAAATGAACCCCAAACTTCATGCAGGATTATAGCAATCATCCAATATGATAAAGGACTATCTCTGAAGGTTGTTGTTCTCTTTTAATGTTCTTCCACCAGGGAAACTCCTCTGCATCTTTGGTGGGCCTTTACATGCCCCAACCTAAGCAGAACAAATCAGACTTGTCCCCTACAGTGCTTTTCCAAGGCCTCCTTTATAGCACAGAACACATTGCATACAGCTGAGCAGAGAGGGTTGTCCTATATGGGTGTACAGGCTGTGTACTGTGCAAGGATGCTTGAGTGAGGGGCTGAAGTCAGGCTTGGGCTTTGTTCACCAAGGCCTGGAAGAAGAGACTCCTTTATATAATTGGCATAAATGCTCTGTATGGATAGCTTGGGCTCTGGAGTCAGATGTGGATTTTAATCCTGACCAATTTACTGGGAGTCCCTTAGGAAATGACTCACCTTCTCCCAGCCTCAGTCCCATCCTCATGCTGTGGGAACAATGCCACACACCAGACAATGGTGATGCTCTCTCGCTGCCCTTCACCCTTGCCTCCCCTGTGAGCTTCACGAGGCCCAGTGGTGTGGTTATGGCTGTGGCTGGCACAGCTCTAGGCACGCTGAGTCCGCCCTGAGCAGCTGCCACCTCTCAGCAGTGAGCATGTGTGAGCGTATGTGCCGTGGCTGACAGGGGCTGGGGCAGAGAATGGCAGGAGTGGCTATGAAATACTCTGGCAGTGGGATCCGCTGTGTACATGACCTGTGGTGGACATGACCTCCCAACTCCTGAGAAGCAGCAGCTCTAAACGCTGTGGGTGTGGAGGGGACCAGAGTGGGACAGTGGAAGCGTTCATCGGGGACATCCCACTGGAGGGATGGCCTTGGGGTCAGGCAGGGGAGGGGCGAGACAGGGCCTGGGGAGGAAAGACTGGCTCTGCAGTACAGGCTGCACACCGGGCCTGCTCTGAACCCAGTCCCCTTGCTACTCTCCTCCACCAGGGCTCAGATCCTGCACCGTGCCAGGCCTGCCTGCTCATGGCTTCTGGTTTGTCCTGGGGCCCACTGCTTGGCCCACCTCCCCCCAGAGCCAGTTAACCAAAGTTCTCCAGTCTGCCAAGCTGTGTTCTGCAGACACTACCCTACCCATCCTGCGCTTCTTACGCAGACTGGCCTCCTCCAGGAGGCCCTTGCTGACCGCCCTGGATAGTTGGGTCCCCCTGCCTGCTATGCTAGCACAGCAGTTGTCACTCTGAACGGTGATGGCTGGCGACCGCTCTGTCCTGGGCACACTGTGTCGGGTAACCTGACTGACGCTTAGACATTGCTCAGTGAATTGCGGTGGCAGGGAGATGCCTACGAGGGTGGATGGAAGGTGGGTGGTACAGATGCAGGCTCTGCGTCTGAACTTGGTTGGTCTCTAAAACTCCCTTGCCGTATGTCCCCAGATGGTAGAGTGGGAGTGTCACAGTCCAACAGGTAGACCCAATGTGAAGTGCTTAGATTGCCTTCTGACACCCTAGGAGAGCAGGGAATTTGCTTCTTATTGTTTTGTTGTTGTTGTTGTTGTTTTTGGTACCGGGGATCGAACTCGGGTCCTTGCGCTTGCGCAGCAGGCGGCGAAACCACTGAGCTAAATCCTTGGCCCTGCTTCTTATTAATTGTTACAGGAGACAGGGAAATGTAGGGTTAGCCCTGGCCAAAGAGACACACTGGGTGGGGAGCAGGTGGGGGGCTCCCGAGGCCCCAGCTCTGACCCTCTCCCCACCCGTGCCCTGCACAGATGAGCAACAAGCGCTCCAACAGCTTCCGCCAGGCCATCCTGCAGGGCAACCGCAGACTGAGCAGCAAGGCCCTGCTGGAGGAGAAAGGGCTGAGCCTGTCACAGCGCCTAATCCGTCACGTGGCCTATGAGACCCTGCCCCGGGAGATTGACCGCAAGTGGTACTACGACAGCTACACCTGCTGCCCACCACCCTGGTTCATGATCACTATCACACTGCTGGAGGCAAGGATGGGGGTGGGGAAGGGGCGGCCCAGCCTTGGGGGAGAGGGTGGGGGCATGGGGAGAGGAGCCAAGAGGACAGTGGGGATCTCGGGAAGAGGGACACCTTCTCCTCCACCATAGGGCGATGACTGGGGCTCCAAGAGCTGTTGTCCTTGTCAGTCACACCTGTTACAGTGAGTGCAGGAGCTGCCGTAACCCAGGACGGCCAGATGGCCCAAGGGTGACTGCATCCAGCGGTGCTTGCTGCTGAAGAGTCCTGTGTGGCTGCCCCACTGAAGCAACAGCAGCAGAAACAGTGCAGCAAAGTCCATCGTTTGGGGGGATTTAGCTAGGCAGACTCAGAAAGCCCTGTCTGCAGACGGGCAAGGCGGAGCAGCCAGTGGCTCCCAGGACTCCCTTTCCCTTGGGTAGAGGAGGACCAAGCCCCGCCTCACACTCCCCCAGGAAGGATGTCTCTATTAGGCCTCGGGTGCTTTCTAAACACAAAAGAATTGCACAGCTACCCTGGGAGGGAGTGTTTATGAACAGGGAAGAGTGGGCCTGACATACTTTAACGAACATTCTCCTCTCAGGGAACTAGCCATGCCTGTTATTACACAAAAAATTCTCCTGCTTAGGCAACAGAATCTGAAGGTACCGCTTTCCATGCCAGTGCTGTGTGTGATAGGAAGAGGTCCTCTTGGCTGCTCAACCTGGGTACCTGTGCGGCCCACCCCACCTCCAGCTCCCAAGTGGATGCTTGGCTTCCCTTCGGCATTTTATGATCTTCCATGTTTCTCTTCCAAAGCCACAGGCCTAATTACGGCTTCTGCATATGGTCTTGTAAAGTTCTTGCCTAATCAAACGGCGGGAGCATTCAGCTTTGTGGCATCTTTCTTCTTTTTTGCTAAATCGGAAATATCTGGTCTGCTAGCCAGAGTGCATGTTTGTTGTTATGGCTTCATCCAAGTATGGATTGAAGTTGCAATTTCTCTGAGATACTCTCGGACTCCTTCTGTGACCACTCACTGTGTTGGTCTATTTATTAACTTGTACTTCAAGACCAATAATAATGAGCTGCCTTGGGAGCTGTATTTGCTGCCAGGCCACCCGCACAGTGTTAGGTGGACAGAACGCTTCTCAGAGAGCCCAGAAGGTACAGCTGCCAGGGGCCTGAGCCCTGCTCCAGCTTGGCCCTGCTGGTCCTAACCCGGCATTCATTGTGGCCTCCTTCTCACTGTGCCTGGAACAAGGATGGCTCCTTGTATACTTTATCAGGACCACTGTGGAAATCTGGGCATTGCTACCCACATCCAGATAAGGATACTGAAGACCAGAAAATTCAAATAATTCATCCAAGTTGGTCTAAAGGAGCCAGATTTTGAGTCCAGATTACTTTAATTTTCCAGAACCGTCAGCTGTGTAAGCTTGAATCACCAATCTAGAAAAAAATGGAAAATGCTCAAATAGCTGCAATAACTCTCTCAAAGCCCTTGTGCTAAAGCCAAGGCTTTTGTTTTAGGTACAGTTCTAGTAATGTGATTCTCTGGTTCCATGATGGATAGGAAATAGAAGGAACACAAAGGGGAAGCTACTAGAAGGGGCCCAATACCAGGAAGCAATAAGAAGTTAACAGTTATCTGGGCATGGCAGTGCCTCCCTATAATCCCAGCACTTCCTGCAAGAAGATCACGGGTTCAAGCCCAGCCTGGGCAACTTAGTGACTTAACAAGAACCTGTCTCAAAATAAATTTTTTTTAAAGGGCTGGGATGTATCTGGTACGAAACCCTTGAGTTCAACCCCCAGTACTCTTAAAAAAGAAGATTTGAAAGTGCAGATTAGCAGAGAGATTTGTACACCCATGTTCATAGTGACAAAAGGTGGAAGCCACCCAAGGGTCAATGGACAGAGAACAGGTGGACATGTGACAGGTACATGTAATGGAATATTATTCAGCTTTTGAAAGGAAGGAAATTCTGACACATGCTATGGCAATGGCAGAATCTTGAAAAACTATATGAAGTAAAATAAGCCATTCACAAAAGGAGAAATACTGTATGAGTCTCCTAATAGAAGGTCCCTAAGTACTCAAATTGATGGAGACAGAAAGTAGAATGGTGGTTGCCAAGGGATAGAGTGGGGACTGGAATGGAGTTAGTGTTTAATGTGTAGAGTCTCAGGTTTGCAAGAGGAAAGGAGCTCCGTGCAGGGATGATGGTGACCATAGCAGTGGAAATGCACTGATGCCTCTCAATTTCACACTGAAAACTGGGGACGATAGGAGCTTTTATGTGTATTTCACCACAATCTTTTCTCCCCTTTATTCCTCTTTCTTTCTTTTTGTTTTTTATTTTGTGTGTGGGGAGGTACTTGGTACTGAACCCAGGGTCTTCACACTGAGCTCCATCCCAGCCCTTTTTTTTTTTTTTTGACAGAGTCTTGCTAAGTCACTAAGTTGTCCAGGCCAGGTTCAAACTCATGATCCTCCTGGCTCATCCTCCCAGAGTACGGGGATTACAGACATGCTCCACCACACCCAGCGTGTGTTGTTTTAAATTGACCGGTGTGGAATGACTGCAGTTAAAGTTTAAATCCTCCCAGCCCTTCCTGTGTAGCAGTGAAGGAGTGAGGCAAAGAGACCAGGTGATCCTGTAACACAGGGGTCTTGGGGCGGGGGGGCGGTGGTGGAACGCTTTGCGGACGCTGGCTGGGGGTACCTTTTGCTCTCTGAGAAGGAAGGATGACAGTGTCCTGGAGGGTGCTCAGTGCTCGTACCTCGTAACAGGACTTCTTTGGTCTGTGCTTTGTCCAGATTGCCTTTTTCCTCTACAACGGGGTGTCACTGGGTCAGTTTGTGCTGCAGGTGACCCATCCACGCTACCTGAAGAATTCTCTGGTTTACCACCCCCAGCTCCGAGTGCAGGCTTGGCGCTACCTGACGTACATCTTCATGCACGCCGGGTGAGTACCCATCTTCTCTCATTGCTGTCAGAGTTCTACAGATAAATAATTGTCCAGATCACCCAGTGATATATATATTTATTTTTTCTTTTGTGGTGCCAGAGTTTGAACCTAAGCCCTCACACAATCTAGGCAAGTGCTCTGTCACTGAGCTACAACCCCAGACCCCAAAATATCTTCTTCTTGGACACACAATTTGAGACAACTGCTTGAAACTCATCTAATACAAAACTATACAAGTCAGGGGTTTTTTTGTTGTTTGTTTGTTTATTTTGGGGAACTCAGGACCTTGTGCTTGCCAGGCAGCCACAGCACCACTGAGATACAACCCTGGCTCATATGTTTTTTTGTTTGTTTGTTTTTGAGACAATCTCACTGCAGTTCAGGCTGGCCTTGAACTAACTATGTAGCCCAAGCTGGCCTCAAACTCACGGTGCTCCTCCTGCCTCAGCTTCCTGAGTGCTAGGATTATAAGAGTGAGCCACCACGCCCGGCTACAAGTCAGTTATTGAGAGCATATAGCAAAGAGGAAAATTCCGGAAGCCAGCAGTAGTATCAGCATACACAGACACATGATTCTGTGTACTTGCTAGAGGTGGGTTGAACATTTGATCTACACTTCGTAGTAGCCAAAGCAAAGAGGAACGTGTGTTCAGCCACCAGATTCGTTGTTCGTAAACTGTGGGTGCGAGCGCCCTTGTAAGTGAAGTAAAGGACTAATTTGTTCCAAGGACCACTTTCTTCCAAGGTGGTTTCCATATGTGATGAGGGACTTATGGGGAGCTCTGGCAATAATTATAGCTTCCGTTTACTGAGCCCTGTGGCCTCCTTGGAGGCTGGAGTGCAATCAGTTCTCACTGGTGCCTCCTGCCACAGGGTAAGGACTCACCAGTTGCCTGTGTGGCCACCCTGGTCTGAGTCCCTGGAAGAGCAGCACTCTTGGCCAGAGGTTACTGTCACATGGTCGAAACCCTTCACTGGGAACAGGAAGACCCTGAGCACCACCCTCCATGGTGTCTCCTGTACTCCCCACCCCTACATGAAGGTGCCCATTGCCCTCTGGGAGAAGGTCCTGGGGGGACCTACTCTGGGGTGAACATGGGAAGGGAGTCACTCTGTCTCCCAGGGCTCCATCACCTGTCATTCCTGTTGCTCAGCTGAAAGGTGCAGTGGCCCAGGGAGAGGGCCACTGTGAGCCCTCTCACGCTGAGCCCATCCATCCCTAACTGCACTCTGTGCGATAGGGTGCTCCAGGGTGAGGTGATACCTCAGTGGTTGCTGATAAACATCTCTACCCTGGGCCACAGGGCCCATTGGGATAGGCTCTTTACCTCACCTGTGGTGTCCCAGGCTTTGATCACACAGGGCTGGGCAGCAGAGTGAGAGGACTGTCACACTTCAGTCTCTCATGAGCCAGGACCCGGAAATAACAGAAACCAGTTCCCTGCCCAGGCTGCCCAGGCCTGTGGGAGTTCATGGCTTAGGACTGCAGGCCTTATTTCCAGTATTGCCCTGTGACCCTCTCTGGGCCCACTCAGTGAGGAAGAGAATAGCTAACGCCTCCAAAACCTCCTGGACCCATTCTCTGCCTCATTAACAACAGTCATGTGTCTGTAGTTCACAGGGCACAAATGTCCTCAGCCAAGGCTGCCGGGGTGGCGTTGGGCCTTTCTCCAGCAGCTGCTTCTGATGGGGCCTTGTCTGCCAGGGAGACCCTGGGAGGATTCTCCAGAGCTGGTTTTGCTTTGCTTTGTTTTGTTTTTTGGTACCAGGGATTGAGCTCAGAACCTTGTGCTTTCGAGGCAGGTGTGGCACCACTGAACAAAATCCCCTGCTGTTTTGTTTTGTTTTGTTTTTTTAATGTGGTTAGTGCTGGGGATTGAACCCAGGGCCTTCACATTGAGTTTCAGCCCCAGCCCTTTATTTTTTATTTTGCTAAGTTGCCCAGGCTGGGCTCACACTCACAGTCCTCCTGCCTCAGCTATCCTGAGTGCCAGCATTACACATGTGCACCACCACACCCACCTGTGGAACTCTGGGTTCTGAGGGAAGGGCTCCTGGTTGGTGCAGTAGATAGGACAAAGACAGCTGGCCAGCATCTCCTGACCTCTTCTTGTCTCAAGGGCTTAGGCTGTAAAATGAAGGCCTGAGCCCAGAAACCCTCCAAGGTCTCTCTGACTGTGAGTCTGATCCCAGCCCCTTTCCAGAGTTTTCCTAGTGCCTCTCATCTCCACGGAGTCCTTTCCCTAGCAGTCAGTAGAGAGTAGAAGACTCCAACATGGTGGCCATTCGGAAGCTGCCTCAAAAGTGCCCTCCAGAGTAGCCAAGTGCCCAGCTGGGCCTCCAGGCAGCGCACCACAGACTAGGAGCAGGGCTGTGATGCAGGCCAGGGCCCAGCCCCTTTGTTACTCCTTAACTGAAACCATCCCCAGAGTGTTGTCCATGTTTTGGCTCAGTTTAAATGAGATAGATAATGGATGTCAAAGTGCACTGCAAACTTGAAAGCCTCACATTGATTGAATAATAGTAACATTACGATTTTTTCTGACAATCCATGGACTTGGCGAGGTACCTGACACACTTAGCAACAAGATCTGGCCCCACAGGACAAGCAGTGTACAAAGGAAGGCATTTACGGGATAAGAAAGCCTGGGTCCCTCTCCCAACCCTGAGAGTTTTGGAGCAGACCAGGTCCTCTCTCATAACAGAAAGGAGGAACTTTCCTGTGAGATTTTTAAGGGAAGGCTGAATTACTAACTTATAATGCCTGCACTATTCCAGGAACATCTTTCTCTTTCACTATCAGTAGCTCTTACAAACACAATAGAGAGCCAGACTGACCACAGGGCCTGGTGGATGGAGCGAGTCAGGCAGATCAGAGACCTAGACTGTGGTCCCTTGGTGTCTCATCCATAGATCTTAACCATGGTTAGTTCCTCTCACAGTGACAGGTGCAGGCACTGCCAGTCACCACCCAAGTGCTATACGTGTGTCCCAGCTGGAAGGAATGCTCTTTCATCATGCTCAGTCTGCATCGTCACTCCTCTCTCCAGACCATGAGCTTCTCAAAGGCAGAGACAGAGGCTTGTTCATTCATGGATCCCCAGCATCTAGGCAGACCATGTTTGTTGAAAGAAAGAAAGAATGAATGAATGAACAAATGAATGAATGAATGTGATCTGTCACAGGATAGAACACCTGGGACTCAATGTGGTGCTACAGCTGCTGGTGGGGGTACCCCTGGAGATGGTGCATGGAGCCACCCGCATCGGGCTTGTCTACGTGGCTGGTGTTGTAGCAGGTAGGCAGGTGGGCCCCGTGTCCCAGGGAAAGCCTTCCCAGGGTGGGCTGGGGGAGACCCCTTAGGTGGGACCAGCCTCAGGCTCCTAGGGCACACACGGAGGATCTGCATCCCCAAGGCTTCTGGCTGCGTAGCCATCCTCCAGGCAAATCTCCCCACCTCCAGGAATGCTGGTAAGAGACAGCCACCCAGAGAGGGAGGTGGATGGTGGTCAAGTGGGGAGAACAGAGGATTTGGAACAGGTAGACTGGCTGAGTTTCAGTCTCCATGACGCTGTGTGGTAGCTGTGTGAGCATGGGGAAATTACTGATTCTCTCTTGGTCCCATTAAGCTTGAAGAGGGAACTAATGAAACCTGCCTGAAGGGTTGTCAGGAAGCTGGAGGGAAGCTACAAATGGAATAACAGATCACCATGAGGGCAGCAGAGGTGTGGACCACCTCCCTGACCAGGGCAGCATTTGAATCCAAAAGGAGATCTTGGCTCTCCTGGGAAGAGCCACCGTCCGCTTGACTGACCCACTGCAAACAGGAGAGTCTGGCCTCAGAGATGGTGGCCTCTCTATACAGCTGGAGGAATGGGGGCCTCCGCCTGTCTTGGCGACGATGGGAGGGAGGGGCCCGTGACTGGGGCATGCAGAGCAGATTTCTGCACGAAGTCTCACAAACTTGGCTTCTGAACACAGGGATCTCCCTTGTGAGTGAGGTTTCCAACTTTATTGCTGGCTTTTTAAACAAGGTTTGCCGCCTCAGCTCCGCAGTGGACAGCAGTGCCCAAGGGAGCTTTGTGTGTATGTTTAAGTAAGATCTTAATCCTTTCTGAGTGGCATTAAGGCTGTCATCAGAAGAGTAGGGCAGCTTCAGCCTTGTAAATGAGCTCGCAGGAACCCTTGGAGGTGACTGCACTGGTTTCAGCAGTGGAAGAGGAAGGGTCCCACCCCATGCACATGGACTCTCAGCCCAGGAGAGTCTCCCAGCACCGTCTCCCTTGCTCCTCAATGTGGCCAGCACTGTGGACTTTGGACAGCACCCAAAGACCTTTCCCAGAGTCCAGCACTGACAGTGACCTTCACAAAGGCCTAACAAACACCTCTGTGTATCAGTCTTGCTCAGCCACCCTCATACTGCCTAGACCTGCCATCTGGTGGGGGAGGGTTTATAGATGCAGTCTAGATACCCGGAGTCCCAGATGTTAAATGGCGAGGAACAGGGAAGACACTCGTAACACTCTCAGTTAGTAGTCAATTAGACTGGAGCGCCAATAACCTGGGAGACAGAAATAAGACTCACGGTGACTCAGACCTCTCCCTAAACAGATGACACACAGTGGGGAGATGTCAGTGCAGAGTGGGAAGACACACAGACCCAAGCAGGCCTCATCAGCTGACTGTGAGGTTGGGGGCTGTGACACTGAGCCAGGGGTGTGCCCTGTTCTGCCTGAGCCATCACATCAGACCAAAGGGCACTCTGGTCACTGCGTACCATGTCGTCGATCTGCAGGGTTGAGTGGATTGATCTTTCTAACTGCCTCATTCCTCCCCCTCCGCACCCTTCCTCAGAGAGGGAAGCCCATGTATAGACAGCCAGAACTTGACCGGATGGCCACTAGTTATCAGTGCCTACCATGTGCAGCCGTATTTAGTCCTCATAGCTACCCCATGAGGTGGATACTATTACTTTCCACCTGGTAGAGACATTGAAAATGAGGCTTAGAGGAAAGAGGTGCAGCTCAGTGGTACAGCATATGTCTAAATGCAGGAGGCCTTGAGTTCAATCCCCAGCATCAAAACAACGCCATAAAAAATCAGAACCTGGAGAGGCACAGTGGTGCACACCTATAATCCCAACACTCTGGGAAGCTGAGGCAGGAGCATCACAAATTGAAACCCATACTAGGCAATTTAGCAACTTAGCAAGACCTTGCCTCAAAAATAAAAATAAAAAACAAAGGGCTGGGGATATAGCTTAGCACCAAGGCCCTGGGTTCATCCCTCAGTACCACCACCACCAAAAAAAAAAAGAGGAAGCCTGTGCTTAGAGGGGTAAGTGTCAGGTCCTAAGTGTTGGCGCTTATTCAAAGGCTGTATAAGCCCGAAGGCTCTCCTCTGTACAATCCCATGGCGTGAAGAGAGCCAAAAGACGAGCCTTTTCTTTCTTTCCTTTTTTTAGTCCAGGCTGTCCTCGAACTCACAGCGATCCTCCTGCCTTAGTCCCCGGAGTGCTGGGATTACAGGTGTGCACCACCATGCTCACCAGGTCCTTTCCTTTGTGCAGGTGACTTATCATTGGAAAGCAAGGGAGGTCTTAGTAGATATCTGGCCCTGCTCTCTAATTCCTGCCCAGTAGAATCCAAGGCCATCACACTTTGTGAGAATGATAGCTAACCTCTACTGCATGTGTGATAAAGGGACCGTGTCTGTCATCAGCTGTGTTCTCCCCAGCAAGCCTATGAGGTTGGTACCTTCACCTCCATTTTACAGGCAGTTCAGAGAGGTGAAATGTTTGTTTGATTTGCCCAGCTAAAAAGTAGAACTAGGGTGGAGTCCTGTGCCTCTAACACTTCAGGCCAATATATAACATATATGTCAAATAACTATGTAACTAACAATTTAAGTACTTTTGGGTTTCGTTTTCCTTTGGTACTGGGGATTGAACTCAGGACCTTGTGCTTGCCAGGCAGGCGCAGCGCCACTGAGCTACATCCCCAGGCCCCAGTACTTTCAAAACAAGTATTTTAGGGGCCGGGGATTTAGCTCAGTGGTTCAGGCACCTGGCCTGCCTGGAAAGCGCAAGGTCGCAAGTTTGATCCCCGGAACCAAAAAAAAAAAAAAAAGTATCTTAATTGCATCACCAACATTTTCTTATAGATTATAAACCATGAGTGCATCCCCAGAGCTTGGCACCTGTTAGGTAATAAATATTTGTAAGGGAAAGAATACATGAATAAATAATATTACACTGCTTAAAGGCAGATGTTTTGCCAATTTGGATTTGGATTTTTTTAACGCCTAATGGCCAAGGGAGATGTTGGCGAACATCTGCCTTAAAATTTGTCCGTCTAAAATTACTACAAAAGTTCCTTATGACGAAGTCACTGGTTTATCTGCCTGCTGGGGTGTTTTTTGGGGAATGTGTAGCTCCGACTAGAGCCAGTGTGGAGGTGAGGTGTGTGTGTCACTGGGGTTTGCCATTCTCTCCCAGCCCTGTCCTCACAATGTCCGTTGAATCCCTACTGGCCTTCTGAATGTGTCATCTGCAAGCTTTGCAGCGGGTTGTGGAGGAATCCTGCCTGGCTGTGGTCCTGCCCCAGGCTGGGCTTTATTATTGTATTTACCTACACACATCGCTGAGTTCTGTTCCTGTTTGATCCCACCTAGCCCTCCCATCCCCAGCTGACCTACAGGAACCCTAGAAAAGTGGGCAGGTGGGCCCAGGTTGTTGCCTTCAAGATTCTAACACAGGATCTGAGCTTTGGAGCCTGGATCTTAGTCCAGGCCTAGGATCACTGAACTCCTGCTCTGAAGGAACACTTCAAGCCGCCCCCAGGAAAGGGGCAGCTCTGCTTCTGACCCTCTCCCTCCCCTGTCCACCAGAGCCCAGAGTGCTTCCCTGTGTCGTGCTCCACGGGTTAGGGAGCCCTAGAAAGATTTCTGTTCAAAAGGGGTTTCACGGCTCACAATTTGAAAAGCCTTAGACATCCTCATTTCATAGATGTGAAAACTGACACCTGAAGAATTCAGGGGCTGTGCCCAAGGTCACACAGCTAGCCAGCCCTGCCCCCATTCCACACTTCTGCCACAACCCCAAAGCGTCCCCTGGCCCTGGGGTCAGGTCTCTAGACCCCGGGAGGGGGAGGGAAAGGTCAGTGTGGTGCAGGCTTGAGCCCAGCAGGGGCCATTCCCTGCTGGAGGCTGCCCAGTGCCTCTCTGCTCTGGTGGATCTTACTGGGGCTGACGAGGAACCGGTTTGCGTGGATCTGATGGAGGAAAGAGGCCAGGCCAGGGAGGCCGGGCTTCCTCTGTCCAAGCGGTAATTAATGATGAGCACGACTCAGGCAGACAGCCCGCAGCCCTGCAATGCAGCCTTCGCAGACTGCCGCCGGGAGAGCGTGGGAATCCTTTGTCATGCAGATCCTGCTGCCTGTTTGTTTGCCACCCTGGGATTTTTTTCTTTCTTTCTTTCTTTCTTTCTTTCTTTCTTTCTTTCTTTCTTTCTTTCTTTCTTTCTTTCTTTCTTTCTTTCTTTCTTTCTGTTATATATGGCTGACCCCATGGGTAGGCCATAAAAAAGGAAAAGAAAAAGCAAAGAAAGTTATCTGACAATAGATCAATACCTAATTAAAGCCAGAGGGAAGGGATGAAAACGGGGAAGAAAGATTTATAGTTGCCCTGGGTGGGGAGAAGGACTTGGGAATCCTCAGCTCATGACAGTTTGGGGTTTTTTTCTGAGCGATCACATCTCCCTTGAGACCAAGAACTGGTTGTGGGGAGCTGTTCTTCAAGGACCTCAGTAATGCAGGGCCTTGAGAGGGGGGCTGGCTGTGAGAGTCGGATGGGCCGGGGGTTCTGTGTCCCCATCTAGATGGTCAGTGCCTTGCCTCTCCTGCAGGGTGGGTCCTCCACCCCAGGAAGCTGCAGAGCTGGGCTTTCGGCCTGTCCCTCCTCTCTCCAGAGGCTAATTGGCTCGGGAGCCTATGGGCATTTTCCAGCAGTGGCTTCCACTCACAGGCCTCCGCTCATCCTCTGCACCCTGGGCTCTACCTCTTAGTTATTTTTAGTCTCCTGTATCCCTCCCTAGAAGCCAAAGCATTGATCACACTTAAGTGAGACCAAAGCAATAAATTTTCCACCTCCTCTCTGCCCAGCTTCCTTCCCAGGACAAAAGTTTGTCATCTCTCATTCCAAGAGCAGAGGACCACCCTCCCCCCCAGAGGGTGTGATATCATCTCTCTCTGTGTGGGGACTTTTCAAGGACATTTCTCCTCCAAAGAAGCCCTCCTGGGAGATTCTGTTGGCCTTTTGTGATTTCTTTTGGCTTTGGGGGAGGTAAGAGTGATACTAAACAGATGTCTAGATGTGCTTAAGCAGAGGAGACCTGGGTTCCAGGTTGGGGAGTGGCTGTCACTGATGCCAAGATCATGGGCTTTGTGTCAAGAACACTGGTTTTGGCGGGGCGTGGGCATGCACACCTGAAATCCCAGCACTCAGGAGGCTGAGACAGGAGGGTTACCATGAGTTCAAGGCCTGCTTGAGTTACATAGTGCGTTCAGGCCTTAACTACGTAGGGAGACACTGTCTTAAAAACAAACAGGGGCCGGGATTTAGCTCAGTGGTTCCACCATCTGCCTCTCAAGTGCAAGGTCCAGAATTGGATCTCTGGTACAAAAAAACCCCCCAAACATACAGTAGAAATATAAACCCTTGAGAAGAAGCAAGGGTGATGTTCTTCAGAAAAGGTATAAGATATCAATGATGAATGTAACTGTATTTTATACCTAAAATGTACCAATAAACATAAAAAAAAAAAAAAAAAAAAAGAACATGGGTTTTATGTCAGGCAGATGCAAACTCAAATCTTGATTCCTGCACATCTCATAGGGCATGCAAGGCTCAGTGCCTTCCCCATCTCTTCGGTGAGATAGCTCACCCCTACCTCAAAGGCTGGTCTTGAGGATGGAAGGGAGGAACTGGTGCCTGACACGTGGACAACTGCTGCCACTGTTCTTTTTGCTGCTCCAGATCCTGCAGTAGCCCTTCGTCAGGCATAGGTTGGGATGAGAAGCAGATGACCTGGGTCTTAGTCCGAGATCCACCCTGGGAGGTCACTTCCCTTCTTTGAGCCTTGTCTTCCCATCTGTAAACTGAGATTGCAGAATCCAGTGGCTCCTTCAGCCATAGAGGGTTCCTCTGGAAGATCCTCAGGAAGCTCCAAGGCGACATCTTCCCACCCAGACAGCAGAATCTGAGCGAGGCCTGAGGCCAGGTGGGCAGCCAAGTCCAGCATTCTTGAGGATTCTCTCTTTCTGTACTAGGGTCCTTGGCTGTGTCTGTGGCGGACATGACTGCACCCGTCGTGGGCTCTTCCGGAGGGGTATATGCTCTTGTTTCTGCCCATCTGGCCAACATCGTCATGGTGAGCCGCCATCCTATTCACCTGTGTCTTTCTTCCTCTCCTCTGTGTCACCAGCCCAGGCATTAATCTGCTAGAGGGCAACAGGCCTCCCACCCACTCCTCCTCCTCTGTAGGCCTGTTTCAGCCGGATCCCTTCCAGGTGTGGCTCGGCGTATGAATGTGCCCATCTCTTTACTCCATGCCTTCCCTATTTCTGACTTTAAGAAGTGTTAAAACTTGGCCACTAGTACGTGTGATCATTGGAATTCCTTATGTGTCAGAATTGTTCCAAGTAGAAGGACCTTAGAGATTATCTCACCAAAATTCCCCAATAGGAAAAGAGGCACTGAGAGATTAAGTGATTTGTCTAGCTTCACAGTCAAGTTAGCAAAATTGGGACTTGCATCAACACCTTCTGACGACCATCCAAGTGTTAGTCAATGACAGGACACTTTCCTGTCCCCATGGTCTCCTTTGCCTTTTCCTGAAGGGCAACACAGTTCAGTGGTGAAGAGCACTGGCTACAGAGCCAGGCAGCCTAGATCCGTCTCCCAGCCACTTCCTGCAGTGTGACTTGAAGCAAGAACTTAACTGCTGTGTGCCTCGTTTCTACATCTGTGAAATGGAATGATATGCAATGAATGAGATAAAATGAAAATAACCGCTTAAATGTTTTTTTTTTTTTGGTACCGGGGATCGAACTTGGGACCTTGTGCTTGCGAGGCAGGGTCTGGAACCACTGAGCTAAATCCCCGGCTGTATGAATCAAATTCTATTTTTTTTTTTTTTTTGGTACCGGGGATCGAACTCGGGACCTTGCGCTTTCGAGGCAGGCGCTGGAACCACTGAGCTAAATCCCCGGCCCCTAAATATGATCTCTCAGTTTTGTTTTTTTGTGGTACCTGGGATCGAACTCGGGACCTTGCGCTTGCGAGGCAGGCGGCGGAACCACTGAGCTAAATCCCTGGCCCGCTTAAATATTAATTGCCTAGTCATAGAAGAGGCCAGGGTGAGCTCAGACTAGACAAAACCTTGAAGGGAGGCAACTGGGATGAATCTGATACAGTAGAGGATGTTAAAGCCCCTGTTTTGGAGGAAGTCTGGGTTGGGGGCCTTGCCTCACGCCATGGCCGCCTGGGAGCGGCCAGGTCTTACATGTCTGTTTCCTCTGTGCCTGGCATGGGGCTGGGTTCATGCTAGGTGTGCCCACCACATTTTGGTGAGGGAAGGAAGGGAGGGAGGAAACAGGAAGGAGAGGGGAGACAGGGAGAAAGGAAGGGAAGGGAAGGGAAGGAAAGGGGAGAGTAAGGAAGGAAGGAAGAAAGGAAGGAAGGATGGACGGACAGAAGGACGCAGAGCTTCTTTTCCCTTGGGGCCCTCCCTCACCCACCCCACTTCCCCACCACTGTCTTTCCCCATGTGCCTGGCGAATGCATGGTTACAGCAGTTTTCCCGTGTTTTCTTCTTGCTTCAGCCCATTCTCATCTGAACCACCCCCAACACCACCCCTCTTCTTTTCAACAGTGTCTCCTTTGCAAATTGTCAGGGAGCACAGGAGAGAGGGTGGGAGAGACAGACAGACGGACACTGAGTGGTCCTGCTTGCTCTTGGCCTGAATCCAGTGAGCGGTTGGAGACAGGCTGCAGGTGCTGGAAAGTGTGTGTGACCATGGAAGTCAAATGTGTGTTCATGCACAATATTTTACACACAGAGATATGCATGTGCGTGCGTGCACACACACACACACACACACACACACATATGGCGAAACCCGAGAACACGGGGCTGCCTCACATGGCCCTTTTAAATGGGTCATTCTGTATCAGTGCCACATCTTTCCCCAGACACAGCTTTTCCTCTGAATTCTGTCTCCTCCACTCCCCCTCCCCCTGCCCCAGTTCCTCTCAGTAGGGAGGGAAGTACTACTGACCTCCCTCGCATCCCCCCAGCAGGGTGTGGACGTGGCTGTGGACTGGGAGGTGGGCAGGCGAAACTGAAGAAGAAACAAGTCGGAGTTCATAAAGTTGTCCCTCCTCACCTTAAGGGAAGCAGCCCCAATTTCCCTGCAGACTCCATGCTGAGGACAGCCCACCCAAGAACCACTGGCAGGGCCTGAGTCTGGGGAGACATGAGGACTGTTTGGTTCCAGTTTATGCTGCTCAGAGGCAAGTAGCCCGTGGCCTGTGGCTGTAATGATGAGCAGTCTCAGAAGCAAGTGGCTTTCCCGGCCAGTTTTGCAGTTCCCAGAGCATGACATGGGTGTAGCCTTCTCTAGAAAGTTGTGCGGTGCTTACTGATGGTGAAGGAAATGTTAATTTTCTCACTAGCAAAGTCATTTTCCCTTCATTGGGGAGCCACCTTTACCCAAATTAAGTCAGAGATGCACTGGGATGACTCTTGAAATGACCACTTCTCTATCCCAGAAGCATTTAAATATTGGTGACTTCATATGGTTCAACTTCATAGATACACTATCATTTCTCATTCCAAAAATGAAGATTTGTAGGATATGTGTTTGTACACTATGAAGTATCTCATCAGGACAGAAAGCGTAAGAGACATGGATGTGAGTCAGAAAAGCTGGATTTGAGTAGCAGAGTCACCATGTGAGTGGCCGTGAGTCCTCCCCATCAGCCTCTGGGGCCCCAGTATTCACAGGCAGAACCCCATCTGTACAAGCTGACTGCGAGGAAGACATGAAAAACAGACTCAAATGCTTTCCAGCCAGCTATAGTGGTGCACACCTGTAATCCCAGCTACTTAGAAGGCTGAGGCAAGGGGATCAAAACTTGGCAGCGTAACAATTTAGCACAACCCTGCTTCAAAATAAAATGAAAAGGGCTGGGAGGTAGTTCAGCACTTCCTGGATTCAATCTCCTGTATCTCTCTTCTCTGCCTCTGTCTCTCTCTGTCTGTCTGTCTCTCTCTCTCACACTCACACACACACACACACACACACACACACACACACAGAAAAGAAAATACTTTCCATATGGTGAATTACCATTCAGCTGTGAGATCCTGTATGTTTATATATATAATTTTTATTTGTATAAATTCTGCCAGGTATCTGTACAGAAAATAATCAGAAGATGTGTTCTTTTATTCTTTTTTCTTCAAATATGTGCTAGAAAACCATTTAGCACTTCTGTTCTCAGGACTGTTTAAATGAGACGTTCTGCTTTAAATGAATGTCTTATTATTTATATAAAAAACACATTGAATTTCAAAATGCTTACAATTTACATTGAAGAACTAACTTCAAAAAATATTTTAGTGAAAGATCTGGATTACAAAAAGACCCACAGTAAGCTTGAGACATTTCTAGCTAAATGGATGCACCTTGAGACCATACTCTTAAGTGAAATAAATTGGACACATATGTTTAAATACTGCATTGTTTCTCTGGTGTGAGAAACTGAAAGTGGAAATAAGGACTAAAATGTACAATAGACATTGGGAAATGCGAAGAAAATGTTCAAAATGAGAAGAGGAACAAGACAGGAGGGAGGGAAAAGGAAAGAAGGAACATGAAAAAAAACTGAAGGAAAAAATGGAAACAAAGCTTTTTGTACATAAGAGAGGGGGGAGAATGGGGAAAAAAGAAGAAAAGACTCACAGTCAAGACTTATTTTATTTAATTTAATTTATTTTTTAAGACTTCTTATTTTAAATACCCATATCCACTTAACTGAATAATTTATTAATTGCCTTTTGCTGGGGCCCATAGTCCGGAGTTTGTTTGTTTGTTTGTTTCGCTGTACTGGGGATTGAACCCATAGTCTTCACACTGAGATACCAAAACTACCCAGCCCTTTTTTTATTTTTCATTTTGAGTTAGGATTTTGCTAAATTACCTAAACCAGGTTAGAGTTTGCAATCCTCCTGCCTCAGCCTCCCAGAGTGTTGGGATTACAGACAGGAGCCACCACACGCAGCTGCATTTTTAAATATATAAGATATTTACTTATATTTGGTCTCTGTGTTGGACATTTTCCTAAAATATTTGAGATCTAGATTTTTGCAAGTTGAACCATATTGTCATAGCACAAGGAAAGATACTCATCTGAAAAGGTACAAATATCTCTGTTACAAGGTTTAAAGGAAAACCTTTTTGTAGGACAGATAAGCTTTAGCCACGGTGCATTTTCATGTTTCCTGCATTGGGTTTTCTTGGTCATTTGACAAACAGTTTCTACCAGTGATATGGAAAGCTGTGTTGGAGTGGAAACTCTGCCACCCCTTGAGGATGGAGCCAGAGACTCCACACAGGGTGGGCCAGCTCTCCTGCCACTGGGATGAGCCCCCAACCCCAGCCTCTGAGCCTCAACTGGTTGGGTGAGCAGGCTGCCTAGCAACTTGTTTGCTGCTGTTTGCTGCGGCTAAGTTACTGTCTTACCCTGCGAGGCTCCAGGAGAGAAAGAAATTAAAGGGCCTGTGAAAGGTTTGAGTTCCCTGGGGGCCGGTAGGCTTTTCCACATTTATAGCTGCAGCAGTGCCAGCTGTGTGTGAGATTTTTTTCTTCTTCTCTCCTGGTGTTTCATTGCACTCATTTTATTGGAGGGAATAATGGGTCGGGGAAATAAGGCAGCTGGTGGAAAGGGGGACTTTAGTTTAACCCCTCATTTGCTAGGAGAGGGAGTCTTCGAGATGTGCTCGGCCTTGGAGACAGCTGGGCAGATGGACTATGACTGTGAAGCCACAGTGCTGCACCAGAGCCTGTCAGCTTGCCATTAACTCACCGTGACCTTGAACTAGCCCTCTGGACCCTTGGTTTCTTGTTCCCTAAAGTACTGGGCAGAAGTCAGACTGGATCAGCTTGGCAACTTCAGTGATGGGGGTGGTCAGAAATTGCCTGAGAAAAGCTATGCCAAGACAGGAGCTCTCAGGCCCTGTCTGAGGTCATTTGAGACCTGAATTTTTAAAGCCACTCTGTAGGGCAAACTTGTCAGCTTTGCCTTAGGTCTAGACATTTATACAATAGCGACCATATGCCAGAAGTTAGTATTAATTTATGCATGTTAATACATCCTCACAAACACCTGATGAGGAAGTATTGCTATCTCAAATGCACAATTGAGGACATAAAAGAAAAAGGAATTCTAAGCCACCCCATTGATGGCTGTGCCAGATCAAGAATATGAATAGTGGGCCGGGGATTTAGCTCAGTGGTTCTGCTGCCTGCCTCGAAAGCACAAGGACCCAAGTTCGATCCCCAGTACCAAAAAAAAAGAATATGAATACTGTTTTTTAAGACTGATCTCAGATCAGGTGCATACCTATAATCCCAGCTACTCAGGAAGCTGAGGCAGGAAGATTGCAGATTCAAGGCCAGCTTGGGCAATTTAGTGAGATCCTGTCTCAGAGTTAAAAGGGCTGGGAACATAGCTCAGTGCTTCCCAAGTTCAATCCCCAGGAAACACACACACACACACACACACACACACACACACACACACATTGATCCCAAATTGGGCCCAGAGGGGACATGGAGGCAGAGAACCTTAGCGGAGGGAGAGTGGCTGAGATGTTCTAGCTTATTTTGCCTGGTATCACTCAGGACACAGTGAACAAGACACTGTCTTCAAATAGAGAGTTAATTATGCTAAGTGTGCATAACATAAAATGTACCTTTTTTTTTTGAGACAGAGTCTTCCTGTGTTGTTCAAGTTGGTTTTGAATTCACTGTGTGACTTAGGCCAGCCTTGAACTAGTGGTGATTCTGTTACAGGAAATAATACCAGAAATGAAATATGAAATATCTCCCAACTTATTAGCTGTATGACTATGCCGAGTTCTTGTTCTCTAAAAATCAAAGAATGAGGGCGGGATATTTAGCTCAGTGGTTCTGCCACCTGCCTCGAAAGCGCAAGGACCCGAGTTCGATCCTCAGTACCAAAAAAAAAAAATCAAAGAATGAATTCTAGGAACAAAGGAGGTTAAGAGTAGAAAGATACTTATTGATAGGAAAGCTCCTGAGGAGCAGGAGGGGACTCAAGTGGGTAGCCAGGACCCCAATTTATAGAGGAGTTTTTTTGTTTGGTTTGGTTTTGTTGGTACCGGGGATCGAACTTGGGACCTTGCGCTTGCAAGGCAGGCGCCGGAACCACTGAGCTAAATCCCCGGCCCTATAGAGGAGTTTTATAGGGTGAAACCCAGATGGGTACAACATGGGCCACAGCCGTGAACATCCAATAAGGTTACAAGTGTAGTCACTTAGGTAATGGTGGTCCAATTGGGAAACAAGTCATGTAACAAGCATGGATGGAAGGAACAAAGATTCTCCTAGGAAGTGGTGGGTCCAGAGGCCTCTGGTCGCCCACCAGGGTGGCTGATGTCTATCTAGACTTCACTAGGCTCAGTGTTTATTCTTTGAGGGAGTATGTAAGTCTGGTCATCTTGTCTTTATCTTGAGGCTTGGTTTTCAGCTGATGTGTTTCTGGTCACCACTGTGGTGTGTTTCACCTTTGTCCTGACCCTCTTGAGAACTAGCCCTATCTGACTCCCTATAATATTTCTACCTGACTCATCTGTCTATAATACTCCTGCCTCAACCTCTCGAGTGCTGGGATTGCAAGTGTGTACCTGACCAAAATGTACCATGCTAACCATTTCAGGCATACAGTTGAGGGGCTCTGAGTACATGCACATCGTTATACAGCCCCTACCATCATCCTGGCTCCAGAACTTTTTTATCTTCTCAAAGTGGAGTGCTGTACCCATTAAACACTTAACTCCTCGTATCCTCCTCTACCCCAACAGCTTCCCTTCTGCTTTCCGTCTCATAAATCTGACTCCCCTAGGAACCTCATATAAGTGGAATCATATATTGTCTTTTGTGATTGATTGGCTTATTTCACTTACCATAACATCAAAGTTCATCTATGTTATAATGTGTCATAGTTTTCTTTTTTATTTTTATTTATTTATTAAAAAAATTTTTTTTGATATTGTGGATTGAACTCGGGTCCTTGCGCTTGCAAGGCAAGCAACGGAACCACTGAGCTAACCCCCCCAGCCCCTTTATAGTTTTCTTTTTAAAATTTTGATTTTTAAGGCTGGGGATTTAGCTCAGTGGTTTCGCCACCTGTTGCGCAAGCACAAGGACCCGAGTTCGATCCCCAGTACCAAAAAAAAAAAAATTTTGATTTTTATTAGTACATGTTTGCAGAATATAATGATTACGTTCATTGTGGGAAGTTGGTATACACACACACACACACACACACACACATATATCACATCTTAATTCTTTTTATTTCTCTTCCTTCCTGCTCCCCCCATCTTTTGGCAGAATTCCCCTTTTAAGACTGAATAATATTCCATTTGTCTAGCCATGGATACTTCTGAGCATTGTGCATACTGCTGCTGTAAACATGGGTCTCACTTTTCTTTGTTTTGTTTTCTGTTTTCTTGTGGTACTGTGGATTGAATCTAGGGCCTTTGCACTAAGGTACATCCCCAGCCTATCTATTCTTTTTTTTGAGATAGAGTCACTAAGTTCCTAAGTTGCCCAGGGTGGGGTCAAATTTCTCAGTCTTCCTGCCTAAGCCTCCTAGAGTACTGGGATTACAGGCTTGCACCACCCACAAGTCCAGCTGGGTCTCATTTTTAAGAGAAAATTAACACCTATGAGTGAGTAGCTAGCTAGTCTCAGCTACTTGGAAGCTGAGGCCAGAAGATCATTTGACCCCACAGGTTATAGGCCAGCCTGGGAAACATAATGAGAACTCATCTGAAAGAAAGAGGAAAAAAGGGCCATGGATTTAGCTCAGTGGTTCCACCGCCTGCCTCGCAAGGGCAAGGTCCAGAGTTCGATCCCTGGTACCAAAAAAAAAAAAAAAGACAGTGAGAGAGAGAAAGAATTGTCAAAGTAATTTAAAAAAAGATGGGCCGGGGATTTAGCTCAGTGGTTCTGCTACCTACTTTGCAAGTGCAAGGTCTGGAGTTCTATCCCCAGTACCAAAAAAAAAAGTAATTTAAAAAAGGAAAGAAGAGAAAGAGTTAGCGAGGGAAGAAGAGACCCGAGGGTAGATATCACAGGGAGACATAGGCTGAAAGTGTAGCAGGAAAAACTTTTGAGTAACTGAGCCCTTCCCAAGGTTTCCCCAGAGGTAGGGAGCCTTCCCCACAGGGGCCGGAAGGTGTCCCCTGCGAGAAGAGACAGTGATTCCCATCTTCCTCCAGCTGAAGGATCACTGGGACAGGATGGCCAGGTCCAGTGGAGATACCGACTCTCACTTTGCTCTGTGTCTTGGCAAGGTCCTGCTGTAGGTAGACATCAGAAGGGGACAGCACTACCCGGCCATCTGCTTTTCAGCATAGGCCGTGTCAGCAAGCGGAGATCAGACCTTCCACTTCCAGGGGGCCATGAGCTGCCCACCTCAGCTTTTGGGAAGAAGGGTTCGTTGGTCAGTGAGGAGCAAAGGAGAAGAGGCAGGTGGTGGGCGAGAAGCCAACTGCCGCAAGGATTTCTCCCTCTTTTGGGCAGCTTCCCCTGGTCCTGCTTGCTCCACTGACGATTTCATAGATGGTATTGTCAGTGCCAGTATTCAGGGCCGCCATAAAGTTTAATGGAAGTTGCTGCAACCTCCAAGGAGGGGGAGATGTGCCCTGTAGTGGGGCCTGGGCAGCCAGAGGACAGATTGGGTGGAGAGCGGGAACAGAAGTCCCCTGGCTCTGCCCAGTTGCCTCCTTCGCGGAGGCTGGTGTGTTCCAGGAAGGTCAGGGCTGGAGTCTGTGAGCAGGCGCATGCGCATCTGGCATCTGTGCAAAGGGACTAGGCCTTTGAATGCACGGCAGGAGTGCTCTTCAAAGGAACCCTGTGGTGAGGTCTTTTGTAAAGTGAAAAATCCTTTTGTAAGGTGAATAATTGTACCCTGTCTATCTACTTTGGAGGTTCAGAGTTTTCAGAGATTCTCAGGGGACAGAGGGATTTGTTTGAAGGCCATCTGGCCCACCCTCTTCCTGATGCCTGATCCTCCTCTAGAGCATTCTCTGAGCCATGTGAAGTCCCTGTCTGGAACCTCAGTGACAGGAAACTCATGATTTCCCCTCCACCATAAATCATCTTTGGACAGTTCTGCTTATTAGAATTGGAGCTTTAGGGCCGGGGATTTAGCTCAGTGGTTCCGCCACCTACTTTGCAAGCGCAAGGACCCGAGTTCGATCCCTGGTACCAAAAAAAAGAAAGATAGAATTGGAGCTTTGAAAAAAACCTCTCTGAAGTTTTTAATCCATGGTGTCTTCTGCTTGCAGTTTGTGCTGAATGTGTGCCCTTTCCTGGTGTTGACTGGGCACTTGGTAACAATGAACTTGACCCCTTCGTCTTTGGGCTGATAGATCTAGGTTTCCATATTCCACCCTCACTGGCAGGATTTTGAGTTCTTCCATCATCTTGATGGTTCTTCTTCAACATTGCTTGGTGTGCAGTCCAGCATCCCTTGTCAACCGTGGGATGCAGCAACTGGTGCATCTCTCCTGGTGCTGTCTGTCCAGGGAGAGAGACAGAAAGGAGGGACTCGCATCTCCCAAGATCTAGAATCTCTGCTTATGTCAGTAAAGCTCAAGAGTTTTTACAACAGGAACAAATTTACCATTGCCCCAAATCTCGAAGTCCTGCTTGTGTGCTCTGTGACTCAGCCACACTTTGGCCTGATCTGCAGCTAACAAAACTCTCCTTTTTCCTAGAACTGGTCAGGCATGAAGTGTCAGTTCAAGCTGCTGCGGATGGCTGTGGCCTTGATCTGTAGTAAGTACTGATGGGCAGGTGGGGAAGGAGGCCTGGTGCCAGGTCCCAGGGACACAGAGATGGCCCAGTCTTTGCCTTTCAGGCACTGTTAGTCAAGAAAAAAATAAAAGAGACATATCAGCCACATGCAATAAGGTGGGGATGTTGTGAGAAAGCCTGCCCCCTACACTGCTTCTTAAGCCTTCTTCTTTTTGTGGACATAAAATACGCAAACAAAAAAGCACTCAGCCAGGGATTTAGCTCAGTGGTTTCGCTGCCTGCTGCGCAAATGCAAGGTCCTGAGTTCAATCCCTGATACCAAAAAAAAAAACAGAAAGAAAAATAGCTTGTTGACCTGTAGTCATAAAGTTGTTCCTTTGAGATCCTGTGCTGAAAGTCAGAGACCCCATTCCTCAGATTATATGCATATTGCACGTGCACACACACACTCATGCACATGTTAAAACTTGCAGCTTCAGAAGGTATGAAAATGTAACTAATCCATGAGCCCTTACAAAAATGATGTGGTGGGTCCTGGGTTGGGAGAGGTCAGTTCTGTCTGCAGAGGTGATTTGGGAGTTAAATGTGAACAGGTGTTCAGCAGGTAGACAGGGTGCAGGAGGGCATGTTGGGCAAAGGGGCAGTAAGAACAAAGGCATGGGTGGGTGAAGGGTCACAGCCAGCAAGCTGGGAGCAAAACTGACTAATGAGGCTTTCGGCTGTGTGTGACTGTGTCAAAAGTAAAGCTGCTGAGATCAGAGAAGTCAGATCATGATGGCTTTAAAGGCAAAAGAGAAAGATGTCCTTCATCTGCATGCAGTGAGAGGAGGTCACTGGAGGGCTTTCAACACGGCAGTTAGTGACAGGCTGGAGGTGCAGGAAACCAGTCTGGTTGCAGTGTAGGGAATGGGCTGAATTGGGGAGGAAACAGCCCACAGGGCTAGGCTATTGTGAGATAAAGAGCAGTGGAGACAAGAAGAGAAAACACATTCTCTCCTTCAGGCCTCAGAACATGCCCATGATGAGGATATCATTAAGTTTAATTCAAAGAATTAAGTTCCTTGCTCAAGGTCACCCAGCTAATAGGTGATAAAGCCAGCATTCACAGCCAGCCTGTGCCATTTCCAATGCCCCGCACTTGAGCCAAGCTGGACAGGGAGCACTTGGCTTTCCCAGCCTGGGTCAGCCACCTGCTGTGGTAGGAGGAGGATGAGCTCAAGGCGGTCTGGCCTGTGAGGCTCCACTAATTCTTTGCCTCTTAGCCTCTGGGTGGCTTTGAGGACATCGGGTCTGACCCCGACCCAGTGATGGGCCCTCTGCATCCAGTTTCCTGGATAGGGTTAGAGGATCTCTCATCTTGATATAGGGGGAAAAATGTAACTCCCAACATGCTAGATGTCAGATACACTGAGTTCCTGTTCCCTGAAGTTGAAAATGAATTCTAAGGCACAACAGAGGTTAATTGGGGAATAGGACTAGCTCCTGAGAGACAGGAGGGGTCCCGAGTGGGTTACCAATGAGCCCACTTCTCTGAGAAAGTTTTATAGAGCCAAATCACGAGGTGGGTACAAAACTATAACTAAACCCCAAACCTATAATCAACCAATAAGATTACAAGTGTAGCCACTTGGTTAATATTGATCCAGTAGCAGCAAGGGCATATGGATGACATCATTAACCTTAGTCGATAATCCATAGTCTTAGTCTTCTTGTCTTTAGTCTTAGTCTTCCTGTGTGAGAGAGGATGGTCCACCCCAATGAGATAAATTTATTTATACAGGAAATCACAAAAGGGTGGTACCAATAATCTCAAGCTTCCCTTTATCCCTTAGGAAAGTATGTAAATCTGGCCCTTGTGAGGTTAATCTTCTTCAGATGCGCCTGGAGCCACAGTTACAGTGTGTTCTCATTCTCTACACTGAGTCCCTCGAGGGCCTACCCCTGTCTGACTGCCTATAATATTTCTACCTAACTTGCCAGGGATTTAGCTCAGTGGTTCCACCTGCCTCGAAAGTGCAAGGTCCTGAGTTCGATCCCTGGTACCAAAAAAAAAAAAAAAAAAGAAAGAATATTTCTACCTAATTTAGCCATCTATACTAAATGCAGAGAAGACTTTCTGGTCTTAAAAACATGGACTCTGGGCTGGGGATTTAGCTCAGTGGTTTTGCCCCCTGCTGTGAGAGCACAAGGACCTGAGTTTGATCCCTGGGACCAAAAAAAACCAAAACATCGACTCTGAGCCAGGGCAGCAGGGGTAAGAGTTAGAGGGGGGTAGGCATAGCCTCCTTGTGTGCTCAGACTCTGCTTTTTTGTCTGCTTTTGAGGAAGAAAAGAGAAGCAGCAGTCTCATTGTTTATAAAAATCCAACTCTAGGCATCATGAAAACCAAAATGCTATCTTGGAGTTGGGAACCATTGTCTTTCAAATTTACTTGATTGCCGATAGGACCTGCTAAGTAATTAGAGGCCAGAAGTGTGCTGGGGAGAACTGAGCATCCTTCCGAGGCTGCTCCTTTCCCACCCTCTGTCGGCCATCCTTGGAGTTGCAGGGCCCAGTGCAGAGGGTTGAGCAGTCCCGAGGGGGAATGGAGGTCCCTGTGGGTTCTGGCATCCTTGGAGTGGTTAGAGTGGAGAGAGACGCACTGGTGGGTTAAATAGTTACCAAAAGAGTATGGCATGCCCCTGAAAGAACCTGTGTTCCATCTGTCCGCTTTGCCTTGGTTTCCTCTCCCATAAAATGGGGGTAAGAATATGTCCCTTCAGCTGGCCGTGGTGGTACACACCTGTAATCCCAGCCCTTGGGAGACAGAGTTAGGAGGATCATCACAGGTTCAAGGCCAGCCTCAGCTACATAGTGAGTTCCAAGCCAGCCTGGACTACATAGTGAGACCTTGTTCAAAAAAAAAAAAAAGAAAACTTCCTTCAGTATTCCTTTGGTATTAGGAAATAAGATGGCACAGCTGTCAGTACCCATCCTTTCAGGAGACCACATCCCTGGTAGAGCATCCTGTGTTCACACCCCCGCCCCACCTAAGGAGGTGGTAGGAGACTTCATCTCCATGTGATTGGCCAACCCAAAATGTTCATCAAAGGAGGGATTGGCGAGCAGGTGGTGGCATCTTCAAATTGGTGGAGGGAGAATTTTCAGAAACTTGTTGGGGTGAAGATAGAGTTAGGATCATTCAATTCCATTCCTTCTTTGCTCTTGTCCCCCTCCATCCTCTCCTTCCTACCACAACAGTGCTGGTTCTGAGAAAATGCTATAGACTGCCAAGTGCACGGCACACATTGAAGTTGTTAATAATGCTCCACCAGTACATCCTGGTACACTGAAGCTGAGGCTTTATACCAGTGGACACACAGGTAAACTGAGTCCCTGGATTCAGGGGTTAGCCTGCCTCCAGAGGTGGGTCTGCCAGCATTAGACTTCTAGTGGTCTTCTTGTGGCAAGATTCCTCCTGAGGTGGGGCCTGCTGACTGCAGACAAAGAATTCCCCTCCTTGTGCCTGGCATTGATTTGATGTCACCAATTTTTTCCCTATAGAAGTGACTCTTAATGAGATTGCCTTCTGTATGTAATTGTTTGCTGGTTTATTGCCTGACCCTGTAAGTGCTAGGAGAAGTTTTATCAGCCTTCTTGATCATTGTGTCTCAGTGTATGGATGGCACATGGCCTGGTGATGGCAAGTGAATTAATGGGTGGCTGGAGTGCCAGGCTTCTCCCCAGCCTCTACCAGGGCCCTCCTGTGACTTCTCTGCACTTCGTCCCTTGCAGTGAGCATGGAGTTCGGGCGGGCTGTGTGGCTCCGATTCCACCCATCGGCTTATCCCCCGTGTCCTCACCCCAGCTTCGTGGCACACTTGGGTGGTGTGGCTGTGGGCATCACTCTGGGTGTGGTGGTCCTGAGGAACTACGAGCAGAGGCTGCAGGACCAGTCGCTGTGGTGGATTTTTGTGGCCATGTACACCATCTTCGTGCTGTTCGCTGTCTTCTGGAACATCTTTGCCTATACCCTTCTGGACTTGAAGCTGCCTCCACCTCCCTAAGGGGCTGAAGGACAAGGTGGGGAGGGGAGGGAGAAGCAGCATCCAGAGGGGGCACCTGCGTTGTTTCTCATCGCCAGCTTTATGAGCCAGGGAGGGGAGGTTGGAGACTCTGGGCCATGCTGACATTGGTGTTTAGATTTGGGCAGACGGTGGATAGAGGCTCTTTCTGAAAGGCACTTGTGGAGGAGCCAGATATGGCTTCTGTGACTTTTCTCGGCTGTTCTGATATGATGGAGCCAGTCTGAAGGCTGGGGGAGGGTGAGAGTGGCCATCCCCATGGGCTGGGCTTGTTCCATCTGGTTCCGTGGGCTCCCCTGTCCCTGCCACAGACTGAGCAGCAGCTTCTCCATCCTCCACCTGGAGACCTGAGAGACATAAGGAAGGTGCGAGGGTCATTGAGGGCAGGCAGGCCCTCCCCAGCCCAGGGACCAGGCGGTGTTTCTGCCACAGCTTGGGGTCTAGGGCTCTGGGGTGAGAGGAGGGCCTGGTGGGGGAGCCCAGGGTGACCTCCTAGGCCTCCCAGTGAGCACTGGGGCACAGCTTCTCAAGCCTGCACTGGGAAGAACAGGGAGATACTATAGGCTCCAGGTCCCAGGCCTGAGGCACCTCTCTTGCCCTAAAGGACGAATGACAGAAACCTAAGCTGGGGGAATAAACTTCATCCAATTTCCACCCTGGCAAAGGCACAGGACCAACTTTAGACTTCTCCCACCCTTTCATCCAGAATGCTGACATCTCACACCAACACGCCAGCCTCCATGCCCTGCTTTGACTGCCGGGTCTTTTCTGTACTTTCCACTGCCCTGAACCTACTTTCTGCCTCTTTTGGGAATGGAGACAGTGTTTTGGGGTGTGTGTGTGCACGTGCACACGCGTGTGTGATAGGAAAGACAATGTGAAGCTGGTAGAGCCTACAGAGGAGCCTGTGGAGAAGTGGGCATGTGGGTCATCTGTAAGAGGAGAGAAGGTATCAGGAAGGAAAGCCGTGGTATGCTGTGACATAGTTGCTGAGTGTCCTTGGTTTTAGCAAAGCTTGCCCCCTTTTTCCTGTCATCTGTCTCTTCTGGATGCCTTCCTGAGCATCACTGACGAGCAGGAAAAATGGTCCATGCTGGAGGGAGACCTCAGGCCCTACCAGGGACCCCTGGGAGGTTGAAAGGAAACTTGTAGCCACATTCTGCTTCTATTTTTTTTTTTTCTGAGATGCCTTTCCTTTTCAATTATGTCCCCTTTTGCCTCCCTTAGAAAAAACCTTCTGGGATGCAAGAGAAGCTGGGGCAGGAATATTGAGGCTATGTGTCCATTTGAGTTGGTAAGGTGGCAGGAAGTTATAGCAAAAGGAATTCTAGTTTAGGTGGAAAACTTTGCTCCCCATGAGAATCTTTGGGGACTTGGATGAGTGTCAAGGTGAAGATAACTTGTACATAAACTCAGATGCTTAGAGTTGGGAAAGAACTTGGAGGTTTTCAAGTCCCCCCTTACCCCCATTTCCCAGTGGGAGAATGAGATTGAGAGTATGACCTCCCTCCACCTACATCCCAGGACAGGAGTCTGGAGGGAAGCCCTGTCCCCAAGCAGGGCACCAGCTGCCTCTGGCCCCTCCAGGGATGGCACCACCCAGAATTGTACCAGCAGGAGCTGCTGCAAGCCCCCAGTGGGTATGAGGTGCCTGACCTTTGATAAAATGTCAATCCCTTCATACTGCTTCCAGAACTCTCAAGCCCTGACAACCTAGAAGGACAAAGAGCCCCAGGCCTGGGAGGCAGAGGGGCTGGAGTCATGCAGGAGCAAGGGCAGGAGTATGATAACTGCCTCTCCCCAGCCTTGTGCCCAACAGAGCCCTTGTGTGTGGAGAGGTTGAGGGTTATCCATGCCAAGCATTTGGGGGTCTTGGGCCACTGTAGTTTCCTGTCCCAATGATTACGTGGAAATGGGCAAGGTCTTTCCACACAGGGACACACCCAGTCACTGAAGTCTAGCCTCATGTTTGCCCAGCACTAGCTAGATGGTTTCTGTTCCCCACATGGGGCTCCTAAGGTTCTGCTGCACTTGTGCCAATGCCATGCTGTGGTCTGTCAGCCTGAGGCATTGTAGCCTACGTCTTTGGCTCTGACTTGCATCAGCCTGGAACCTCTTGTCTGCCCTGCCTGATGTTCTCTCCCCTAGTGAGAGTGATATGTAGGTGGAAGAATCAGCTTCTTCAGAGAGGACCCTGAGGGCCCAGAAGGGAGGCTGAGAAGAGAAGACCTAGTGAGGATGGAGCAGGAACTGAACTTTGTTGCCTGAGCCATGCCATCCCCCACTGGAGGGACAGAGGCAATTAGAAAGGGGTGAGAAGGCAATGGAAGGCTCTAGAAAGCCCTCAGAGAAGCACCAGTTCCTTCAAGCCTCCAGATGAAAGCTTTTTACTGGAAGGGCCACCTGAGGCAGGATCCTCCACACTTGGGGGGAGTCTAATCCACACCTCAGGCCACCAGCTCCAAGTTGCTGTCTGTCAGCACACCCACCTCCACCACCTTCTGTCAGCCATCGCTCCCAGGCAGGGACATAGAGTAGAGACACTAGGGCCATTTCACAGGACCCTGAAAGTTTCACTTTTTGACATCCGGCCTTCTCAGCAGATCCTCTTGCTCCTGGTTCCTCCCCCGCCAGCAGCACTTGTCCAGCTCTAGCCTTCTGCCTTCCCTCCCACCTCCCTCTCCAATGTGGCTGCCAGCCAGGATGCTGGGAAGCAGAGGCTGGTATCACTCTTCAGGCTGGTGGGGATAGGTCAGCCTTTCAAGACACAGAAATTCAAGACACAGATATTGAAAGCCTGGGAATCCCCACACATCAGCAATAGACTTGTTTGCTTGTTAAACAGGAGAGGAACTGCAGAAACTGAGGAAAGGAAAACAGGCCTTCAAAGGAGAAATTTTGTTTTAATGACACCATTCATCCGTTTTTTTAATTAGGAAAAGCTCCCTAATGAGGCTCTTTTGCCAGCTAATGGGACTCTCAATTTCCATGAGAGCCATTCTTGCTCAGAGCATTAAGTGAGCCATTGCCGACCAAACCTAGATCTTCCTCCAGCGTCCAGTTCAATGTGCAGATAACGCAGATTGCCAGGTGCAGTGGAAGCCCTTTCTGACATCCTTCCTGTTGTGCCCAGGACTCACTGCAAAGCACTAATTCTCCTCTGCCTTAAAAATGGCGCCCAACAACAAACGGCCCCTCCAAGGACCTTAATAAGTGGGGGAAAAAAAGAACAGAAGAAGAAAACACAAGCCACAGTGTTGGTTTCTAAATATTTTTGTATTGTGTACATTCTGTATATTTTTGTTGTAACATATTATTTGAACAAGGATTCCATTAAAGATTTTTTTTTTAAACCAGTAGATGTTCCGGAAGTGGCCTGAAGGGCTGGCGTGGGAGCTTGTTTCCACAGCGGGGTCAGGGTGGGTGGGAGAGGGGAAAGAACAGTGGTGATGGGTCGGGGACTCCTAAAGTACAGATGGGGCATTGTGCTTGGCACCAGTCTTTCTAGTCCGATGGCTGTTCCTTAACCTCTCTTCAATCACTGAACTCGTGAGTGATGAAAGCTGTGATTGTTCTTCCCATGAAAATGCACATTTGTGGACAATTTTATGGATAATTTTGGGGAGTGGATGGTGGTGAGTAAAAAAATTCATCCCTAGCTTCAGTCAAGAACCTCTGTGCCAGCATCCTGGTGAGTACCCTGCCTTCCCTCCCACTCATAACCCACACTGCTAGGAGAGATGAATACTATGGCCATTATTGGAGACATCTTTTCTTTTTCCTCTGGTTTTTGAGAACAGGGTCTCACTACGGTATGTGGTTCAGGCTGACCTTGAACTGACTGTAGCCCAGGCTGGCCTCAACCCTCAGTGATCCTCCTGGTTCAGCCTCCCGAGTGCTGGGATCACAGGTGTGCACCACCACATCCAGCTGGAAAAATCTTTGAAGTATCCTCGAGGACTTCTTTCTTCACCCCAACACTTGAGTGGTTAGGTCCCCCCAGGGGCTGTCAATGTCCTGATCTTAAGGTATAGGGATATTCTCAGGGTAAAGGGACATCAATGTTTGAGGTGAAGTCAGGAGCTTGGGAAGTGGCTTTGAATGGGTGAGGCCTGGGAAAGTAAATTGTTTTCATTAACTTTTCTAAATCAGTGGTGATGTATGTATGTAGTATTGCCACTTTAAATTTCTCTTTGAGGATTAAGCTGCTCTGTTCAATTCAGCATGGAAGTTGTTTCCCCAAATTTTGGGGTTTTTTTTGTTTTTTGAGACAGTCTTGCTGTGTAGTTCAGATTGGCCTTGAACTTGCAGTGATCCTCCTGCCTCAGGCTCCCAAGTGCTGAGGTTATAGCCGCAAATGTTCTTTCATGTCAGTTTCCTCTAAATTCCCTCCTCCCTTCCCATATATTGGGGTTTTTTTGGTACCAGGGATCAAACTTGGGACCTTGCGCTTGTGAGGCAGGTGGCGGAACCACTGAACTAAATCCCCAGCCCCCGTATATTGTTTAAAAATATTTCTAAATGCTGCAGAAACCATCCCAAAACCAACTTTAGAGTGCAGTTCACCCTAAAGGTCAAAGCGCCCCATTTTTATTTGGAGCATGGAAAAGCAACTTCCCTAGAAAGATAATTCAGGACCCTCTTCAAGTACATGGGTCAGTTCCAGGGTACAGAACCAAAGCTGCTTAGTTAACATTGCTTTAGCCTCCTATGTTTCCCTTTTTACTTTTCTGGTTTCTCCCTTTTATCAGATTCTCATTCTTTCAATAACTTAGCAAGATGTAATAAGAAGCTAACAGGTGGTGCATGCCTATAATCCTAACACCCAGAGGCTGAAGCAGGAGAATCGCTATGGGTTCAAGGCCACTTTAGACTACATAGTGAGACTGTCTCAAAAACAACAAACCAGGGCTGGGGATTTAGCTCAGTGGCACCACACCTGCCTTGGAAACACACGGTCCTGAGTTCAATCCCTGGTTTCCAAAAAAAAAAAAACCCAAAAAGAGAAGATAATAGGAAATGAAAACAATTTAGTGAGCACCTACTATGTGCTAGGCACTGGGGTAGGCATTTTCACAACTTCTGTTTGTTTTTGGTACCAGGGATCAACTCGGGTCCTTGTGCTTGCATAGCAGGTGGGCGGAACCACTGAGCTAAATCCCCGGCCCTTCACAATTTCTATGAATGGGTATAAACATGCAAAAGTTTAGAGAAGTTTACTCACTTTCTGATAGTAGATGGCATTGTTGGATTCATACTGAAGAGATCTGGTTCCAAAGTTGATGCCCTCAGCTGGGAGGATGGGAGTTCAAGGATACTAAACATGGATATGCACAGGGTGTGTCTGAAAAGCCAGCCTTACTGCATCAGGCCCAGGGCCATGCAGTAAATCATGAATCTTGGGACATTTGGTGAGTTCTAACAGCAGGCTCTCCACTTCTTCAGCCCTCCTCCCAGTAGTTCTCCAAAGACCCACAGCAGTCAGTCTGTTCCTTCTCTGTCTCTCCTGATTTCTAAAATCCAGGCATGTACGCCACCTGGCCACCTCCGAACTCTGTCCACAGGAGTGTCTGCACGGCAGTTAGGAGCTCAGCAGTCAGAACTGAGCTGCCTTCTCAGACCTCCGAGCAGAAACCCTTCATTCAAGCCAGTGGGTTTCCTAACATGGTGAGGAAAATGTGGTCCTAGTAATTGAATCTCACCTCTGAGACACCAGCAACCTTTCCTAGCATTTGGCGTAAGCGACCCACTGGTAATGGACAGAAAGGAAAGAATGGACAAGTGTTCAAACTTGCTTTTAGATCCTTCCTGCAAGCTGCAGAAAGGTATATCCAGCAAGTATTTTGCTTTTGTCCAACATGCACCTCAGTATAACGTAATTTTCCCACCAACTTGTGGAAGTAAAAATGTCAGGCATGAGAATTGAGGTCATTAAAAATGACTACTTTGACTATAAGCTGTTTTATTATTACAAATTACAGATAAACAGACCATTTTTGATACATAATAAAACATTTCCTGTGTATAGCACACAAATAATGTATGTTAATTCCACAGTTGAACAAAAGATTTTTCTTTTTTGCAGTACTGTGACTGACCCAAAGCCTTGCCACTGAGCTACATTACCAGCCTTTTAAAAATATTTTTATTTGGGGCTGGGGATTTAGCTCAGTGGTCCTACCACCTTCCTCACAAGCACAAGGTCCTGAGTTCAATCCCCAGTACCAAAAAAACAAAAAAAAATTTTATTTTGAAACAGGGTTTTGCTAAGTCACTAAATTGCTCAGACAGGACTTGAAGTTGTAGTCTTCCTACCTCAGGCTCTCAAAGTGCTGGTATTATAAGCATGTGTTACCACACCCATCACTGAACAAATACTTTTTAAAACTTATAAAAGTTAATACATTAGCTTAGGGCCAGGGATTTAGCTCACTGGTTTCGTCGCCTGCTGCGCAAGCCCAAGGACCCGAGTTTGATCCCCAGTACCAAAAAAAAGAAAAGTTAATACATTAGCTTATTAAAATTTGAATACAGGGCTGGGGATTTAGCTCAGTGGTTCCAGCACCTGCCTCGCAAGCGCAAGGTCCCGAGTTTGATCTCAAGTACCAAAAAAAAAAATTTCTGCCTCATTTTTGGGCCAAGGATTTAGCTCAGTGGTTCTGGCGCCTGCCTCAAAAGCTCAAGGTCCCAGGTGTTCGATCCCCGGTACCAAAAAAAAAAAATTTTTGAATACAGTACATTTCTGATCATGGGCTCTGTGTTCAATAAGAGCTTCTTTTTGTTTATTTTTTGTACCAGGGATCAAACTCAGGTCCTTGCGCTTGAGCAGCAGGCAGCTAAACCACTGAGCTAAATCCCCGGCCCTCAATAAGAGCTTCTTATGGTTAACAAGATACTCAGTTCCATGATATCATTTTCCTTGTTTACAAGAGTAATGCAGAATTTTTCAGACATTTTTTAAGTCTACTGTATACAACTATGTAGTGAGTCTGCATTACAAAAGTATATATAAGGGCTGGGGATTTAGCTCAGTGGTTTTGCCGCCTGCCTCGCAAGCGCAAGGTCCCAAGTTCGATCCCCAGTACCAAAAAAAAAGCATCAGGCACCCACAAGATGCACAGATCTGTCTTCTGAAATGGTGTAGTGGTGCTAATCTATCCTAAGACTAAGATTATGTTTTTTAAAAGAATCTATAATCTGCTGAGAAAGAAGTATTATGTTTTTTTCTGGGAAGGAGGAAAGCTGCTAAATACTGCAGCAAACTTTTATTTATTTGTTTATTGGTACTGGGAATTGAACTGAGGACCTTGCACTTGTGAGGCAGGCAGAAGAACCACTGAGCTAAATCCCCGGCCCTTGCAGCAAACTTTTGAGAGAAGTCACAAAATCACCTCTGACACTTTTTAGGCAACAAATTTCTAAAGTTTAGAATTTACGGGACAGACAATAGACTAAAATTCAAACTGTTTTGAGACAGGGTCTGGGTATGTAGTTCAGGCTGGCCTTGAACTCACTGTGTAGTCCAGGCTGGCCTTCAACTTGATGTGATTTTCCCCCTTCAGCCTCCTAAGTGCTTGAATCACAGGGATGAGTCACCATGCCCAGCTAAAATTCAAACTCTTTTATTTGTTTGGGGTTGTTTTTGGTTTTTGGTACTGGGGATAGAAATCAAGACCTTGGGCTTTCGAGGCTGGCAGCGGAACCACTGAGCTAAATCCCCAGCCCTAAAATTCAAACTCTTAACACACACACCTACCTATGACTCAGTGAAGATGTTCCTCATATTTTTATGTTTAATTAAGTTAAAATTTAAAAGTAAAAAAAAAAAAGAATCTGGTATGTTTCAAATAATCTTAAATAGTAATCCTATGAACAATTAAAACAATTTCAATTTCAAACACCACAGCTTGAATATACAACTTCACAGTTATCTCAAAACATGATCAAAAACTTTGGGCAAGAGCTTCTCTCATGAATTCTTCAAGGACTGCTACCACATTTTTGGCTTCAGGCATTTCTTCATGTTCCACTTTAACAATCTTCAAAAGGATATCTCCACTACCACAGTTTTTTAGGAACATGTAACATTTAAACAAAGCATAATGATTTGTTTCTGCCTGCCGGATAAATCTCTTCAAATTGTTTGTGTCTTGTATGGCCTAGAAAAAGATTACCCAGTTAAATGTGCTTAGTGAGACAATAATGAATCTTAAAAAATATCTCCTACCCAACTGAGAACTCAGCATATATTGCTAAGATGTTTGCTTTTTATTTTAAATACTTCCGTCATTCAACTGATAACATGCTTTGCCCTTCTTAGAACAAAATCTCACCTATAAAGTGAAAACATTCCTATATCACAAATTATTAACATTGATATCCCTTAAATATAAGCAACCATTCAACCCAATTTACTGGAAATGAAATTATATGTATGTAGAAGCTACTAAAAAATTAAATGCCTTCTGATAATTCCAGTTTTGAGAATGTTGTATTTAAGAGAAACCATAGCTGTTAAGTAGATGTGTTATTCTGTCCCTGGTACTGATTAAAACTCAGACCAAAAATTGTATGTGACCCTTGGCACATAGCCAAATTATTACCTTTAGTTTAAAGTTTTCCAGTACTTGTCGGAAAAGAAAGGGGTTACCCCCTTCAGCACCGTTTAAAAAAGCCTGCATCCAATCCTCACAAAATCGATTGCTTCCTGTAGAATATTTTAGAGAAACTAAATAAATGAAAATGCAACACTACAAAGCACAAGACATGTATTTCTTTCTTTCTTTTTTTTTTTTTTTTTCATTTTTCGGTTTTTTTGAGACAGGGTCTCACTACGTAGTTCAGGCTGGGCTTGAACTTGCAGAAATCCTCCTGCCTCAGCCTCCCAAGTGCTAGTCACAGGCGTGCACCACCATGCCAGCCAAGAATTACTATTTTCAGAAAGTTTAAGATAACCATAAAAAACTGCAGGAGGCAACAGGATACATTTGAATCATTTGTTCTCAGTCCAAAGAGGGAAACTTCTAAGAGGTCTAAGAAGGTGCTTCAGAGTTCACAGCTCACCTGCATTGTAGACTTGAGGCTGGGAGCTACTGCAGTCAATGACCACAGACTTACGCTGCTCCTCGGACATGGCCATGCACAGTGACGTCATGGTGCCTTCGTGAATGAGTCCTTGAAGACTGGCCACACTCAGAAACCTGACACACACACAAATCGTTTCCCACAAACAATACTGAAGGATAGGAGGGAGAAAACTACTCATTCTGCATTGGAGGTGGGAAGATTAAAAAATGTAATAATCATGCTTGCAGTGGAAAAGGTTCTCTCTTGGCAAAAATAGTACTCTTTACCTGTTAATGTCTCTCTTTGTTTTTTCATCTGATTCTTTAACCTCAACAGGAGTATAACTCAGAGCCTATGAGAGAAAAATAAAGCCTGATTAACACATATCTTCCATTTCTCCTTATTGGGCAGCAACTCCTGACTAAATGTTACCTCTCCAGTAACTACCACACCAGACATGACTGAGGGGCACCACCCACAAGCTCTCCAGAGCCTTGGTTTTTTTGGTTTTTGGTTTTGGAAGAAAGAAAGCAGCTACATTTATTGAAGATCACAAGATGGTAGCAGGAACATGGAGAAGGGCAAAGGGAAAAAGAGGGTGAAGGGATAAAGGACTCCAGTGTGAAGGGGGAAAAAAAGGCCAGAGCCTTGTTCAACAGCTGCTCACTAACATTTTTTATACAGTTACAGTGACTTTGGAATTTTGTTTTCCTTTTCATATTGTTTTGGAAATTGCACCTCTCCAAGATCACTTCAAAAAATGAAAAAAAATTTTTTGGCCAGTATATTATTTTGGTTGTTTTGTTTTTTGAGATAGGGTCTTGATATGTAGCCCAGGCTGGCCTTGGACTCATGGCAATTCTCCTGCTTCAGCTTCCTTAGTGCTGGGATTACAGGTGTGCACCATCACGCCTGGCTAAAAAGTAATTATTTAAAAATATTTTCTTATTAGGAAGACTGAGCCAGTATTTGCAATTTAATCCTACCTTAATGATATAACTTTCTAGGTCTGAGTAACTAAAGTGTGGTCTAGCTTGATAGCAAACATACTTTAAGTGAATATTCAGGGGAAAGAATGCAATGTTCAGAGAAAATGAGTATGTCTTGGGGCGGGGATTTAGCTCAGTGGTTCCAGCGCCTGCCTCACAAGTGCAAGGTCCTAAGTTCAATCCCCAGTACCAAAAAAAAAAAATGAGTATGTCTCTAAGTAATCTAAATTCTGCCAAAGTGATTCTCAATTATTTGGACAATACTTACAGCATGGAGCAGAAAGGTAAGTTTCTCCTGAAAGAGAAGAACAACCCTTTGGATTGGGCACACAACATCCTCAAACCAGTTGCTCAGATAGGACTTGATGTGAGTCTCTAGGCCCCTCTCCTACAATGAGAGAGAATGCTATTGCTTTAATACCATATAAGCTTTCACCTGGTAGGTTTTTTTTGTTGTTGTTGTTAAATTCTTTTATTGGTACATTGTAGGTATACAACACAATTACATTTCTCATTGGGAACTGTACCTTTACATGATGCATCTTGGTTCTTATTTTTTCCCCATTTCTAGCTCTCCTTTCAGCCCCTCCACCCTTCCCTATTTACAAAGACTTTATTTCCATTTTTTCCATTTCTCATCAACACCTGGTAGGTTTAACATCTTCTTCCTCATATTCTTCACAGTCCCGTGCTGGGGATTGATCCTAGGGCCTACCACTGAGCTACAGCCCTACCTTAGCCCTATACCTCCCTTTTTTAAGGTAACACCATCAACTCAAAAAAAAAGAAAAAAACCACCAAGAATTATAGCTTTCCTGGGAGACTAAATTAACAGGACTTCATGCTGTTATCCACCATGAAGAGTTGGGCAATTATATGTCTGTCCATCTCACGCCACCTCCCTGCACATTCGTTGGAGATACTCTCTTAATAACCCTCACTTCCTCAGCACCTGCTATGGTGTCTGACACACACATAGTACATGTTTACTAAGTGACCACTGAATAGTTGAAGGAATATAGAGAATTCATATTTGTACTCAAAATGTAAATAGGGAAGGACCGACTTATAAGTAACTCATCAAAGCACTCAAGCCCACTCCAGCTGTCACATGTGTCACCACGCGTATGTCTGGCTTTCTGGGACTAGAATCTGACAGGGAAGACACCAGTCCAGGAGAGCAGCACCCCAGATTCAAATCCCTAGCTCACTCCTACACTATCCTTTCTTCTTGTAAGTATAGGGCAAGTGAAAGGAACTATTATTACATGTACTAGTCAATAAACTTAGGAGAGACATAACTTTAACTGCTGTAAGCTGAAAGCATAGTTTGTAAAACATTCAGATAAATCAGTCAATTTGGATATATCTAATTCATAAAGGATTGATTAGTGAAAATGGAATGTTTCTAAAGATCGTTGATGTTAAGTGCAAGGACAGCTATACCACTGCACAGCATGTCTCTGGTGCCAGAGGCTGCATGGACCATTAGTTTTGAGCAGAATATAAATCTTACGTGAATAGACATCAGAAAAAATGCATCTTCTTCAACAGACATGTTATTACATGGTGTTGAATTTACTGTAATAGATGAAATTTTTCACAGGTGCAATACATCAGAAGCAGTCTTGTGCAACTTTCAGCACTTACTTTCAGTCTGCTTTCCTTAAAAATCACCAGTCTGATAGTTCACAAGGTAGTTTTCAGAATTTAAGTATCTTTGTATAGACATATATGGCCTGACGAGTATAGTCATAGTATGTCAATCATTTCAGTCTTATAAAATTAAATCAGTAGCGGGGCCAGGGATTTAGCTCAGTGGTTTCGCCACCTGCTGCTCAAGCGCAAGGACCCAAGTTCAATCCCCGGTACCAAAAAAAAAAAAAAAAAATTAAATCAGTAGCCAGGGATTTAGCTCAGTGGTGCCGCCACCTGCCTTGAAAGCACAAGGTCCCAAGTTCAATCCCGGGTACAAAAAAATTAAATCAGTCATCTTACCTCACAATTCATGCTATTTTTCAGCCCTTGGATATATTTGTCTAGTTCAGGCCTGAAAGTTTGTTCTTAAGGAAGTAACAAAGAATGAATAATAAAGACAATGTTTTTTTTCTCAAGAAGAAATGTAAGAGCTCTCAAAGCAGATTAAATCAAAACAAGTCAGGCAAATGGCCATATGAAGCACATGCATAAGGGCAGAGAAGCCTGGGGAGGGTGGCAGAGATACTCCTCCACTTGCCTCCCCTGTTCTCCTTCCCAATACCCTCAAACACACAGAAAGGATATAGCTCGAGTCCTTTCTCAGACCCTCCCAAAAAGCAGACCACATACTCTGAAGAGTTCTGTTCATAGCCCACTGTAGCTGTCTCAGGAAGCAGTTTTTCTTGTTGGAAAAGGCAGTAATAACAACCAACTTGGTAACCTGGTATTCTAGAAAAGAACGAAAAGGGTAAAATGCAGGGCTTCAGTAACTCATGCATCTCATTTTGCGGACTGCTCTAAATCCTGTTGAACCTTTAGATGGCTCTCTCTTTCAGAGTCTGCTAGACAGCTCATCAGTTTACTCATAACAGCAGAGGAACATGCATGCAAACCTGGTAAGTTTTAGTTAGAGCAGCCCTAACGGGGTGAACATTCTTTTTTAAATTCTGGGTTATGTAAACATTTCATGTGATTTCACTCTTATTCATTGTACACCCACATGTACATGAATATAAGCACGTTCTCCCCCTACCCTGAACCTTCAGTCACTGATGCTCCAGGCAGATGTACCAGGTCCATCCTGTGGCCTTATCGTGGGTGCCTGGCTGCCCACTCCTCAGGACCTATATGCCAACTTCATGCTCTGGAGTGAAAATCAAGAAGGGTAATGGGAAGACATATGGAATTGCCTGAGGATGCCTATGTTTAAGTCTAAACTCCAGCAAGATAACCAGCCCCATGACCTTGGGCAAACCATTTAACTTCTCAGAGTTTACTTTATCATGAGAGTAATATGAGAGTACTGCTCTATCTCTAAGAAGCACTACATCAAAATTGTTGAAGCACATTACAAACTATACAGTATACAATATTGGTTTTGGTAGTTGACGCTTTTCTTCTAAGTACAAAACTAAAAGTACATTTAGCCGGGGATTTAGCTCAGTGGTTCCAGTGCCTGCCTAAAAAGCGCAAGGTCCCAAGTTCAATCCCCCGTACCAAAAAAGGAAAAAAAAGTACATTTACATGCCAGCATCTCTGCCACTCAATCAATCTCATTCCACAAATGTTTATGTATGAGACCCAGAGCTCGGGCTACCAGAAAACAAAAATGAACTCTGCAAGTCTAGAAAGAGACAATCTTTTGGAGTTTATCACTGCTTCTCATGTTTGGCACAGAAATTAAAAACTCAAGACACAGCATATTTTACACTTACCTCAGCTCCACGGATGCAACATTACCCAGCCCTTCAAACATTGTTCCCTTGGAAAGACGCTTAGCAACAAAACTTCGCAGCTCTGGCTCCACTTCCGATGGTAGATTAGTAACCGCTAAGGAGAGGCTTAACAAATGAGACACACATTCCTTACCAGTGAACCAGTGCATTCACCCATAAGTCAACAGAATGGTCCCAAATGCAAAATCATTTTTTTTGGTACCAGGGATCTAACTCAAGACCTTGCACTTGTGAGGCAGGTGTGGTGCCACTGAGCTAAATCCCCAGCCCAATTTGTTAAGTTTTTTTGAGACAGGGTCTGGTTATGTAGTATAGGCTGGCCTTGACCTCCCAATGATCGTCCTGCCTCAACCTCCCAAATGCTGGGATTACAGGCCTGCAATGCCTGGCTTTCAAGGTTTCTCTTAAGGACTTGATAAGTAAGCTGTCTACCAGATCCTCCCTGTTGTGATAATTTGGATCTGGAATGTCCCCCAAAGACTCATGTGTTAAAAGGCTTGATCCCTGGCCTTAGTGCACTTGAGAGGCCATGGAGCCTTGAAAAGATAGGGCTTTACAGGAAGTTAGGTCTGGGGGCTATGCCCTTAATGGGGAGATTAGGACTCTCTCTCCCTCTTTCTCTTTCTGTCTCTCCCCCTCTTTCTCTTTCTGTCTCTCCCCCTTTCTCTTTCTCTCTCCCTCTTTCCCTTTCTCTCTCTCCCTCTTGCTTCCTAGCTGCCAGAAGGTAACAGCCTCCTTTGCCATGTGCTGCCATTTGATGTACTGTGTCACCAAAGGCCCAGTGGTAATGGGACCAAACAAGCCAGGGTTGATGGTACACATCTATAATTCCAGCACTCTAGAAGGTAGAGGCAGGAAGAGGACCACAAGTTAGAGCCCAGCCTGGGCAACTCTGTGACTTAGTGAAACCCCGTCCCAAAATAAAAAATAAAAAAGGGATTGGATATAGCTCAGTGCAAAGGCCCTGGGCTCAATTCCCACTAATAAAAAATTTTTTGTGTGACATCTGAAAATTCTTTAAATTATCCATTATCTACCTCAGTGTGGTGCTACACACCTTTAATCTCAGCACTGAGGAAGCTACACAGAGAATTCAAGGCCAGCCTGGACTAACAGTGAGAGCCTGTCTCAAAAAACCCCCCCCAAAACAAAGAAGAACAGAGCCAAATGTGGTAATACACAAGTCTGTAATTCCAGCACTTGGGAGGGTGAGGCAGGAAGATCACTGAGACCAGCCTGGGCTACATAGAGTTCAAAGCCACCCTGACCTATATAGTGAGACCCTATCCTCAAAAAAAAAAAATCAACAAAAAAGAACAATCATGCATTATTCATTTAATGAACCCAAGATTTTTGTATTACCATATTTTCCATCAAGTATCAAGATACGTACATTGATTCATACGCTTAATAAATATGTATTATGTCTACTCTGTGCTGGGCACCAATAAGAAACAAAATAAGGAGACATCAATGAACAAAAGAGACAATCCCCTGTTGTCCTAGGGTTGACATTCTAGTCACTGGAATCTACTATGTGATACAGGAGCTACTGATGGGTGTGGTGGTGCAGGCCAGTAAATCCCAGGATGAGGGGGGAGGGGTTTGAGGCTACAAAGACAAAGCAAGACACTGTCTAAAAAAAGAATTACAAAAGTGGAAAAAAGGATTTAAGTTAAATCTTGAGGTGGGCCAGGGATTTAACTCAGTGGTTTCACTACCTGCTACGCAAGCGCCCCGGTACCAAGAAAACAAAACAAAACAAAATAAATCTTGAGGGTCAGGGATTTAGCTCAGTGGCACCCTGCCTGCCTTGTAAGCACAAGGTCCTGAGTTCGATCCCCAGTACCACAAAATTAATTAATTAATTAGATCTTGAAAAAAAATTTTAAAATTAAATTAAATCTTGAAACAACAGGCTGGGTGTGGTGGTGCAGGAGGAAAGCAGTAAGTTTGAGGCCAGTCTGGGCTACATAGTAAGTTCAAGGCCACCCTGACCTATATAGTGAGACCTTGTCTCAAAAAAAAAGAATATATTAGTGGAATTCCAACCAAGAAACTCAGAATAATTCTCTCTAGCTAATCAGAGGCAGCATCAGTACTTGGATCTGCCCCAGCCTTGAATGAATGAGCCAATGAGGAAATTAGGAGAGATTCCTAGGGGATAGAAAAGAACTGATAAACAGTTTGAGTCTGAGAAAGCCCAGCGGAAACTGGGTACCCACTGCCATCTACAGGTTAGAGATGCACAGAAATAAAAGCACATGCATGGGTTATGGTTAAGCTGTTTTTACCTGAAGTCATCACCAGAGGGAGTTTCCGCATTTGTGCCACTTGGGCTTCCATCATCGCTGTCCCCACGCTGCTGTGCCAATCTGTAAGCCACAAAAGCAATTATGTGCTCTAAATCAAACAGAGTATGGGGCCCTTGCAAGCTGAGTAAGGTCAAAGTACGTGGGTCCTCTATAGCCTATCTGCATAAAAGGAAAAACCATAAAAACCAGACAGGAGCCTTCTCTTTCTAGGCTACTTAAGGAGGTGGAGCAAAGCCTAACAGACTTTATAGGCTTTTATAAAGCTGACTTTATAGGGCCAAGCATGCCCCTGCAAGGTCAGCCAGAGTAAAAGGAGGCAGCAAGGGCAGAAAAATCAGCAGGGGGGTAAGTGGGTTGGCAGAAATGGGAGGTAACGGAGATAATAGGACTGCAGAGGGCAGAAATTTTTGAGCGTTCCCGAGCTGTGCTAAACAGATGGCAGGAACGGGGACGAGAGGCAGAGGCTGAGATGACATAAAGACAGGGATGGCAGAGGCTTGGACGAGCCAGGACAAGAGCCAGAAAGAACGGAGTGACGGGAGGAGGGCCCTTACGGCCAGAGACCTTGGCTGGGAGAGGAGAAGCTGACGTTTGGGAGCGGCCGGGCCGCTGGGCCGGGGGTAGGGGTGGGGGTGGGGGTGTGCAAGGCCTGGCGGCAGGCCCAGGGTGGGGCAGCTGGGGCAGCCGGGCAGGCTGAGCCGGGCTCTGACACCTGCTTCCGCGATAGCTGTAGAGACAGTAGTGGCTGCTGGGCGGCGGCTCGAGTCTCCGTTCTTCCGCAGAGCCACCCTCCTCGCTGCTCTCTAGCTCCTTTTCGTCCCCATCCAGCGATTCCTGCAAAGAGGGGAGCATCACGGCGGCCTCCTAGCGGCCCTGTGTCTCCGCCAAACAGTTCCCCTGCTGCTGTGCAGTCCGCGGCAGCCGAATTCCTCCGGCTCCGCCCCCTCGCGCACCTGCGTTCCGCCGGTTTCTCGGATCCTGGGGCTCGGAAATCCCTGAGAGGAAGCCAGGCTCATCTGCTCGGGCACGAGATTCGACTTCACCCAAGAGCTTTCACCGTTTCTTTCTTTCTTTCTTTTTTTTTTTTTGGTACCGGGTATCGAACTCGGGTCCTTGAGCTTGCAAGGCAGGCGACAGAACCACTGGGCTAAATCCCCGGCCCTTTCACCTTTTCTTTTAAATTCATTTTTCTGCTCTATCATTTGAGGTGTCAAGGTAAATGAGCTAGAATAAAAGAAACCATAATCTTAAATTAAATATATCACATTATTTCTCCGGTGTGAGAAACCTAAAGGGTAAATAAGGACCAAAATGGATGCTAGATATTGGGAAGTAGGAAGAACAAGTTAAAATAGGAAAGGGAACAAGGGAGGGGAACGGAAGGAGAAAAGAGAATGGAAAGAAAAAAAACGGAAACATGGCTTTTGTAAATGTGGAGGGAAAGCAAGGATTGAAAGTAGGGGAGGGGATGAGGGGAAAAAACAATTAAAATATGAGTAGGTACAAATTCCCTATGATGAATGTGATCATTGTATAAGACAATTATGTATTATTTTTTACATTTGATCTTAGCCAAAAGGCTGAGAAATGGTGTACTAATTTTCAAAAATACATTTAAAAGAAAAAAGATAGAAAATTGTAATTTTTACATTGTGCTTTTTAAAAAAAACTGCAGGAAAAAAAATAAAAACTGCAGGGCCAGGGATATAGCTCAGCAGCACATTGCCTGCCTGGCAAGCACGAGACCCTGAGTTCGAGTGTCGGTACCAAAAAAACAATAAAACAAGACAAAACAAACTCCAGCTTCAGGACACAGAAGTTATTCAAGCTTTTTTCCCTTACAGAAAACTTAAAAAAAAAAAATTTCTAAGGGTCTTAACGACATGATAAGCCCCATTTCACCTTTAAGTAGGCCATCCTCTCGCCCTGAACATGGGTCACTTGCCTACAGAAAGAGCCATTTCCTGTAAATTGAACCCTTCTTTCCATAGATTTCCATCCTCCAAACCACAAAAATATACCCACCCCAGACCACAATGCCCTCCCTACTATTCTTTGTGTACTTTTAAAAATCTGGCTAATAAACCTCTTTATACTACTTACTGTCTTACTGACACATTTTTAAAATCCTTTTTCAGGTCTGGGGATTTAGCTCAGTGGTTCTGGTGCCTGCTAAAACGCAAGGTCCCGAGTTCGATCCCCGGTACCAAAAAAAAAATCCTTTTTCTGTGGCAAATGTCAGTGAACCTATAACCTGCCCGGTGGGTGAGTGGGTTCCCATTCTCCACTTTGGGGAGCTTCCTTGGTCGCTGTCCAGTGACAATAAAGGTGGTACTAGCCAGCTACATGGGGAAAAAAATCGTGCTCACCCACCTCTTTTCCTATGTGTAGGCACACATGCATGTACACCAGCTTGATTAAGACATGAATTTAAGATGAAATTTAAAAAGTGGAAATATTTTTTTTTAAATTTTTTTGGTATTGGGGGTCGAACTCGGGATCTTGAGCGGCAGGCAGCAGAACCACTGAGCTAAATCCCCGGCCCTCCCCAGCCCTATTTTTGAAATTCTTCAAGTTAAGAAAACTTTTGGAGGGCTGGGGATTTAGCTCAGTGGTTTTGCCGCCTGCTGTGCAAGTGCAAGGACCCGAGTTTGATCCTTAGTACCAAAAAAAAAAAATTAAGAAAACTTTTAAACACTTAAACTGGAGATGGTGGTTCACGACTTAATCCCAATACTTTGGGATGAGGTACAAGAAATAAAAATAGGTAGAAAGGAGACAAAAAATAATAATTTAAAAACTGTACGTTTGAGCTGGACATGGCAGAAGGATTGCCATGTGTTCAAGGCCAGCCTGAACTACACAGCCTGATCCTGTCTCAATAAAACCGTATATATATATATATATATTTTTTTTAACTGCATCTTCATCTTCAGAACATAATGAAAGTTACCCAAGGTTACTATATCTGTACTCCCTAAGCTTGTTTTTCCTTTTTTTTCCTTCCAGACCCATCACACCCCAAATCCCTTAAAGATAAGTCCATAAATTAACTTACCTAATAAAATAAAGGGTAGAAATCTGACCTTATAAATCTTGTAAAGGAAACTCAAACTTTCTGTAGATTCACAAATTCTACAGATTTCCAGTTCCAAAAACACATAAACATCCCTAGCTCCCAGCTATAATGTGACTCTGATGAGGCTCTGCACTCTATTTTCTTTAAGTGTATACTTCAAATTCTGCCTAATAGCGCTGGGAATTTAGCTTAGTGATTCTACTGCCTGCCTCACAAGCAAAAGGTCCCAAGTTCGATCCCCAGTACCAGAAAAAAAAAATTCTGCCTAATGAATCTCTTTATGCCACTTACTGATGTGTCATGAAAAATTCTTTTTCTGCTGGGCATGGTGACTGGGTATGATAGGCAGCTAAGTCAGATAGAAATTAATATACAGAGGGTCGGGGATCTAGCTCAGTGGCACCACGCCTGCCTTGCAAGCTCAAGGTCTGGAGTTCAATCCCCCGGTACCAAAAAGAAAATTAGCTAAGCAGCTATACTTGTAACCCTGTAGGTTGATGGCAATTTGACCCATGTTGTACCTGTTACAGTTGAATGAGCCAATAATAGTCCAGGTTCTTGCATATGAGGAAAGAATTGCTAAGTATACACCCAGTAGTAAATAGTAAGTAGCTACATTCATTGAAAATCACAGGAGGGCTGGGGATTTAGCTCAGTGGCTCCGCTGCCTGCCTTGCAAGCTCAAGGACCCGAGTTTGATCCCTGGTACAAAAAAAAAAAAAAAAAAAATCACAGGAAAGATAGTAACGGGAAAGGGGAAAGAGGGGGGGTCAGTAACTCAGGCTTTCAAAATTTAAAGGTCAGACATCTCTGCTTTTGGTGCCTCCCACTGAATCTCCCATCCAAGTACTAACCAGGCCCGACCCTGCTTAACTTCCGAGATCAGGGGTATTCAGAGTGGCATGGCCATAGACATCCTACTGAATCTCTCACTGGCTGCTAGGGCATGGCAATCTTGTAGGCTTTTATTATGTTATTTTTTTAATCTCTCTTAGGAAATGGAAGCAGGAATAACCATTAGGGTGCCTTTTACGGTTAAATGGAGAGAAGGGAGTGACTCTCTCAGCTGCTTTGTTTCTCTTTTTTTTTTGGTACTGGATGGAACTCTGGACCTTGCACTTGCGAGGTAGGGGCCAGAAACACCGAGCTAAACCCCCGGCCCAGTTCCTTTGTTTCTAACTGTACTATACCCACATTGTGACATTGCTGTATAAATTAGCCCTGACAAAGGGCCTCCAGGACCATCCACTGGACCCCACCTGTCCCTCAGGAGCTATCTCTCAATAAGCTTTGTCTATTCAGCTTCCATTGTCCCCAGGAATTCATTCTTCAATATTCAGAGGACAAGAACTCACCATATCTGATATCTAGCAGGTTGAGAGTTATATTTCTCCTATATCATCAGCACTTGGGGGGCTGAGGCAGGAAGATCACCCTGAGTTCAAGGCCAGCCTGGGCCACATAGTGAGTTCAAGGCCATCTAGAACTACATAGTGAGACCCTGTCTCAAAAAAAAAACACAAAAGTTTTTCCGTGATGGAAGTCACTGAACCTGCAGTCTGCCTTGTGAATGGGGTGAGTCAAAGTTCCCCATCTCTGCTTTGGGGACCACTTCATACCCTGCCTGGTAACAGGGGGCTGAAGCAGGAAAATCATGACTTCAAAGCCAGCTAGGGCCACATAGCAAGTTCAAGGCTAGCTTCGAATATAGTGAGATCCTGTCTCAAAAACAAACAAACAAAAACACTTAAAAGACACACAGAGGTATTTTAAAATCTGACTACATCAAAGTGAAACACTTCTGTAGTCAAAGTCAGAATGATTCAGTCATGATAGTTAGGGACCACCACAGAGAAGTGAAACGGGAAGAATCCTGGGCCCTTCCACTACTTGTTAAAAGCATGCTTTGTTTTCTTCTGGGAGAGTCAGGGATTTAAAAGGCATTTTTTGCTATGAACCATGTTCACTTGGGCCTACAGATGCCCAACAGGTAACAAAAACAGAACAAGGCGTGACTTTCATTCTATAACCTTTGTTACTGTAACTCTTGTGTCAGATCACTTCTCAGCTCTTCATAGGAGTGTGCCAATCATTTAGACAGTTTCTGTCTAGGACCTGGCTGGACAGAATTGATGAGCCCTCAATTTACATGCACTCATTCCCCTTCAAGACTGAGGACACTAAATTGGGCATGGTGGTACATGCCTGTAATCTCAGCACTTGGGAGGCTGAGGCAGGAGGCTTGCCTTGAGTTCAAGGCCAACCTGGGCTGCATAGTTTCACACTCTTTTTTTTTTCCCAGTACCTGGAATCAAACTCAGGACCTTGTGCTTGCCAGGCAGGCACAGCACTTCTGAGCTACATCCCTGGCCCTAGGGCCACATAGTGAGTTCAAGGCCAGCCGGAACTACTTAGTGAGACCTTGGCTCAAAAAATTAAAAAAAAAACAAGACTGAGGACACCAAGATGAAAGGTTTATAGGGACACTCAGTCACACCTAGAAGTCTCCAGCCATGATTCTAAACCTGTGATTACCTAAATCTAGGAAAGGCAAAGCCATACATGCCTGATACTGATATAGGGAGTATGATATAGGAATGATATTGTAAGGTCAGACCGAGGCACGATTGAGACCACCACATGAGGCAAAATTTAAGCAACATGCTATGAGTTTATTGCCACTTGGGTGCAGATGGGTCCAGGGCGAGAAGGCCATTGGCACTGAGAGGAGGGTGCTCATGGTTGATATGGGACATTTTAGGTAGGGGAGGGGGCACTGGTCAAGAGGGTGGAAATTTTTAGAGTCTCCTGGGTGATGGGCCTGGGGCTGGCTGATAAGCAGGGTGGTGGGAACAGCAGGGTGGCTGCTGGCTTCTTGTTATCTCTGTGCTCCTATAGATGCAGGTAAGGTTTGCTTGGGTGAGAGTCGACTTGGGGGACCTGTCAGATATAAGTACCTCCAAATGATATAAGGGAAATATATCTCCCAACCTGTCAGATGTCTGATAC